CATTGTTTTCAATACGATTTCTTCATTTTAATTGTCACTGATTGCCTTTGATCTAAAATAACGGAGAGATCCTTATTTAGGTTTATAGTCATTTTTCAAAATTACGTAATTTTTTACTTGCAATGATTTTTCCATCCACCTTTTCTAAGCGAAAACGATATATTTCCATTGGTATACTTGGTTATACAAATTACCAATTTACCAATTATATAGGCTGGCTAGGTTCCATTATACAGGGTGATTTGCTTCAAATTCAGCAAACTTCAGGAGGTGTCCACCTTTCTTTGTGTGTTATTAAACAAGTCTACGAAAATGATAACCACATAACAAAAATACCTCATATGTAACTGAAAGGATTCTGAAACTTTTTGTCTCTTCAAAATTCCAACAAAACCGAATAGGTTTTAAGAAAAAAGTTAATAAATCAGCCATTAACGATTAAGTTGTGAAATGAAGGTTTGAATGCTATTTAATGAAAAATATATAGATGATCCACATGGTCAGTTTGACAGAATGTTAGGTAAGAATGACTCTACTCGAATAAGTCTCTACTCGACTCTATCAAGTGCTATCACTCCCTAATTTTGAACGAGGTGCTTCTTTATGTCATTAGTCACACTAAGAATCCATCTCATTCCAGGTCTTCTCCTATTTCTTGGTATATCTGGTTTGTATTGGCTCGTAAATACTTTCTTTGCTTTCCTGGTTTCAGTCATTCTTAAGATGTGTCCTATTCATCTAATTCTTTGAGCTTTCGTGAACCTAACAATGTTTTCTCCTTCAATGAGGTTGTTTAATTCTTTATTAGTGTAACGTAAGTATGTTCCGTTCTCATATTTGGCATATCCGGTTTGACAGAATCAAATACAAGATATAGACGCGAAGACAACCTAATAAATTTTATAAAAAATATTCGAAATTTCTACGTTCAGCTCAAAAACATGTATTATATTGATGCAGCAGAAAAAAATTTATGGCTTGGTTTGCCCAACGAATTAATGCACCAATCCAACAATGCTCAAATGTTCGATTTAAGTGTTCCCTCACGACATTGGTATAATAAGTTAGGACAAGATCATGTTTACCATATTGTGCGGCATAACCATTGTGGAACATTCTCTTCTTCAAAAAGTTCCAATAGAAGTTCTTCTAAGAATATTAGGTATCGCACTATGTAAACAAGATGGTATGAAGGAGGACCCTATGAGATGGTACATTTCAATGCAACCTTACTTAAGAAAGCATGTTTAAGTTGAGAATAAGATTCTTTATTAATGACTACTATCCCGAAATTATGTCAGAAGTTCCCACTTAAGCAAAAGAATATGTAATTAAAGCTCAACATAACACTAAAAAAAGTTCTGCTTCATGTCAATTCGCCAACAGTAAAAAACTAAAACTGGTAAGGTTTGGGCAATATCCAAGGATTAAAGACAAAATGTTAAGATTTTAGTGTTTTTTCCTGAAACAGTTTCTTGCTGTATTAAAATTTAATCCAAACGTAGTATCAGTACAGAGATGCAAAAGAGGCTTTTTACCTGCTTTGCATCTCTGTCTATGACGCGTGACATGTTAAAACTATAGTTGCAACCATGACAGACAAAGTCCTTAGAAATGCAAGAGTAGTGCAATATTTTAGTGTAACTTTAATTAATTGCATTGCATTTAAAATATTATTGACTCTCCTTTTTAACATAAACTAAAGCCCAACACACTTGCACAACATATACATAGATTTTTTTTATTTGGAAAATATTTGTGCAGGCGAAAAATAATGTTTGATGGATAGGTGAGGAGTGTGACAATGTATGGAGCGGAAATATGGGGGTGCAACGAATACAAGATGGTTGAAGATATATATCTTCAAAATCGTTCAACTATCGTTGCATCATTTAAGAAACAACATGCAACAAACGACGATGGATTAATTAATACTTATCATATTTCAAAATTAATTGCAAAAAGTGGTAAAAGGAGAAACTCTAATAATACCCTCTATAAAAGAATTTATTTCGACAGTAATGCATAAGGATATACTTAAAATTTTAAAAACGTTGCCCTTAAGCGATAGCACACTAAAGCGACGAATTGATGAAATGGCAGTTAATGTTGAAAACAAATTTATAACTATTCTCCAAAACTCTTCATTTTCCATGCAGTTGGACGAATCTACCATTGCGAATAACGATGCTTTATTGATGGCATATGTATTACGAGAAAAAATGCTATTCGCAATAAATTCCATCACAGATACAAAAGGTTTATCTATATTTAATATTGTAAGCACCATTAATGGTAGGTAGCCTATGTGAAGCAGGAAGTGCCAAATGTTTTACGTATTCATTGTGTGGTGCATACACAACATCTTATGGGAAAACATCTAAGTGCAAGTCTCCATTCATCATTAACATTAATAATTAGAGCCGTGAACAAGATCAAATCCAATGCAAAGAACGATAGAATGTTTCTGCAACTTTGCGAGGATAATAATGAAGATTTCATTAAGTTACTTTTGCACACAGAAGTTCGGTGGCTGTCAAAGGGTACATGTTTGGCTAGATTTGTAGCATTATATGATAGTGTCATACAATTTTTTGAAAGTAATGATGAGACCAAATGTGTGTCAACAATTAAAAGCAGTAAAGGATGATGCATTTTACTTGGCAGATATTTTCAAGAGATTTAACGATATCAATTTGCAACTTCAAGGAGCTAATAAAACTCTTATAGGTTACCAAAGGATTGTGCCATTATATATTGGCAAAATAAAAATATCATATGGATTTAGTGCAGTTAATCATATTATGCCCAAAAAAAGAAACCGCCTGAATATTTCCGAAATTAAGTAATGTAATTTATATTTATGTAAAATATAAATAAAAAGATATATTTAACTATAGTAAGTTGTTTTATAAAGGTTTATTATGTCAAACTTTGCGAAAATCCGACATAAAGTACTTGGTAAGTAATTATTATTATATGCTTTAATTTGCTGTAACTCTGTTTTAGAAATTTTATAAAATTATTTCCCTACATTATATGTAAATCACCATTTTTGTTTAACCGGTGGGCGTTTAAAAAATTTGACTACTAACAGACACAAAAGTCCAAAATTGGGCGGTAAGTATAAAAAGGTTGACTACCCCTGACCTAGAGCATTTTGATAAAGTTTTCGAAGATTAAACATGGAGAGAAATATGGAGTTGTTTGAGTTTCGACCACAAAGTTGAAAATAATTAAAAGATTTTCTAACAAGTACATAACATGAAAATACTTTTTTCTATACTTTTTCAATGTTATATTTATTTAAGTTTTCTATTCGACATGTTTCGAGGATCCAGTCCTCATCTTCAGGAAAATTCGTCAATTTTTGAATAAAAGATAACCATATCTCACGGATTACAATTCAAAATTTTCAGGACTAAACAATTAAAAAACAGAAATGAACTATTAAAATTGAATCGGAAGATTCTGCAATTCATCGGCGTGTATTATGGAACCAGTTTTGGATGACGTATTATCGTTATGTAATCTTCCGATTCAATTTTAATAGTTCATTTCTGTTTTTAATTGTTTAGTCCTGAAAATTTTGAATTATAATCCGTGAGATATGGTTATCTTTTATTCAAAAATTGACGAATTTTCCTGAAGATGAGGACTGGATCCTCGAAACATGTCGAATAGAAAACTTAAATAAATATAACATTGAAAAAGTATAGAAAAAAGTATTTTCATCTAAATCAACACAATGTTAAGAAAAACCAAAAACAATTATTAAGTACATAACAGGCTATAAATGAAACTTAGTTCTGATTTCTGCGCTAATACTATTGTTTATTGGTGTCACATATGCATGTTATAATTAAATGCAGGTGACACAAAAAAAATATATGAAATAAATTAATTAAAAATATCCATTAAGAAATCTGATGGAGATTATATAAAATTTAAAGAGTTGAAATATCTCGATCTAAAATTTGTTCATCATTTAAAATACTATGAAAGCTTTTAATTTACAGAGAATGTCCCCAATAAATAAGAAACAACTTTGATTGAAAATTATTAATTTTCCTTCATTTAGGTCAGAAGATAAAGGAAGGAGGAACAAAAAATAGTTTTAATTTCTTGAGCATCGTATAATTTATTCATCTTTTATAACTCAACTCAATAAAATTAATTAAGTATCATTGATTTGAAATAATAATACATTCGTTAAAATTTTAGTACCACACTTAAAAACAAATTAACCGAATTAACTCATAAATGTAAATTGATCGTATTGTATTCGAAACCCAAAGCATTCCAAGTAAACATCTAAGTCATGCATATTGTAAAGTCAATAAAAGAAAATAGTATATTATTAGTCATAATTTTAAAATAAATTCCGTCTCGATTCTCTGTCTATTTATTAAATTTCTTTTTGTTATTATTTTTACTTAAGGAAATACGAATGGAATTTGTTGCGGAATTTACATATCTCCACGTTATTCACAAAGCACAAAGAAACTTTGTTGCTGTGAATATTTTACGCGGATTATTTTCATCTTATACGAATGTCGTATAAGGATCAAGGTGATCACATTTTTTTTTTAAATAAAAACATAATAACTATCGTTATTTTCACGAGTCGTATGCAAATTTATCAAAATATAATGAATCAAAATAACATTCGATTAAAAATGTTATTGGAAAATAATAAAATTTTAGAAAAAAATATTAAATCATCCTTCGATCGTATCAAATACAAATTATATTATTTATTGCGTACAACTTAATAATATGTTATAATTGCATTAAAATTTGTAATTGGAAAAAATTTCGTACATGAAATTGATGAAACTAAAAATTTATTAAAATATATGTCGCAATATTTTGCTTGGTTTAATTTAAATGATAGAAATTGAGTAAAAAAATTGATTGTGGTAAGTTGTTTTAAAAAATAAGCAATCATTGTATGCGAACTGAAATTGTTTTAAATATTTTAAAAAGATTTTTCTTACCAGATCCTTGTAAAGGTGTACTATTATAAGATTCATAACCATCATCAAAAGTTGATGTAGAATGCTTTTGGTTTTTCCCATCATCGTTCTTGCCATTTTCATCCTTCCTCACGCAATTACTCTCGTTTTCTTGTCCCAACAATCTCGTAGACTCTGTAACAATCTTCTCCGGCGTCGAATTATCACCAACTTCTTTCTCCCCATCTTTAGCATCACCTCCGTTATTCAACAAACTTTCAGAAGCGCTCATCGTGCTTTTAATTTTTAAAGAGGAGGAATTTTTCGGCAACACTTCCGGGTTGCTTTTGCGTTTTTTCGCCGCGACTCGATCGCCGAAGAAAGTCGTCTGGATGGTGCGGATCTTCGACGGTAACATCGCTCTTTTTGAACTTCTTTCAAGTCAAAGTTTCACTGCCGCGCATTTCTTGGGCCTCTGGATGCTTCTGGTCTCCGGAAATTTGATGACATTTTTGAATTTCTTCTTTAGTTCTGGTCGAGATGAGAGTTCGAATCGAAATGAACCGGAAGCGATTCGGGATTTCGGTGGATGGTTGTGTCTCGATTTATGATGGTTTGGTAGTGTTGAGCGTCGCGCCGCGACTGAGTTGGCGCGATTCGCGGTGTCGACGCCGTCGCCGACGACGACGACTCCTCCTTTTAATAGGTGCGTGAGAATCTACACGCACGACGCGCACCACACTTTTATTTCATCTTTTCATCTTCTTTTTCAGTTTCCTAATTAACAAACTAAAAGTCGATATTTCAAACAATAATCAAATCTTTCAAAATAAGACCATACTTACCAACCTTTCCTATTAAGCTAACTAAAAACTGTTACATTCCAGGTATTGTAAACGCACTCATTAACTAACAGCTTAATTTTACTAGTACTAAGAAAATGGCAAATATGGTCCTTATACAAACTAAATTAATAGATATTTCAACTGGTCAATACTGAAATTTTCCTATCTCTCATAGCAAAATTGTAGATGTAAAGCCAAGTAATGTGGGCGTGTTATAAAAATATGTTAACAAGTATACAAATGCCATCTAACACTGATATCAACGGTAAAATATACAGTGAGTTAATTAATTATCTTACCTGACGTCATCATTGCAAGTATGCAACCAATATCACAGCGCAATACGCATCTTACGCAAATCGCGTATTGTAATACCAATATTGTGATATTAGTTGCATACTTGCAAAGATGACGTCGGGTACGATAATTAATTAACACACTGTATTTTTCATATTTCTTGAAATAACAACCTACTCAATGAGTTCACAACAAAAAATACTAAAAGGATTTATTGCTTCCACTATATTATATGTACCATATTAAATATAATAAATAGCTAGGAAAATAATAATCCTTATTCATTATAATTAAATAAGTACAAATAAATTTATGGAAGTAGGTTAAATGAGAGCCATCAAACCAACATTCAGTTCACGAATAACCGGAAAAATGCACCCTTCCTTAATTACCGTATAACTACATAGTTCGCAATTTAACATTAAGATCAGGCCAGGACGGCGGTCGTAAATTGGCGCTCATTAGGATGGCTCTCTTTTCTGGGATAATTTATTGTGTTCGTATCGAGGGGTGGCGGCGGTTAAAACTGGGCCGGGGAGTTCATAAAACGACCCGAGGGGACAATGAGCCGCACACCTCTGCGGCGATCTTCTTAAACGGAAGGAGTCGCCGGCGGCGGCGACAACGATGGCGACTCAATGCACCCTTATTGAATTCCGACTGCATTTTACGAGCGAAAAACGCTCGCGAGGAAAATTCGTATTCGGAATGGGCGTCGCGACGTTTTCCTCTCTCTTCTGGTCAAGGTTGAGGACGGCGACGATAAAACCGATTTCCCAGCTATTCCGGTAGCATCCAGAATTACTAAACGGGCTAGTTTTAATCGTTCACATTTACGAATTAGTTCATACTGGATTTTACCAAATGGTTAGAATGTATATTATTCTTGTAGATCATTTTAATAAAGTAAATTGTCTTGAGTATTTTAAGAAGTTTCCATGGAAAGTTGGATAAAGTATCCAATCATTAAAATCGTACAGTTTCTTTTAATAGATGTGTAATAGCATTTCTAATAATGAACTCTGAAACTGGTAGAAATAAAAATATGATAAAAAGATCTCCGATTCTGCTTGAATGAACGATAAAGAAATTTAACAATACGAAGTTTATTGCATTAAAAATAAAATCCCTTTTAGTAGACGATAGAAAACGCCAAAATTGATAGCAATTAAATGATTCCTAACATAACAGAGCATTATACAAAACGCAATAAGTCCAGAAAATAATATTTTTGATACGAAAGAAGTCAAGGTTTTATTTCATATGTACACAAGGCCCTTTTATACATGATTAAGTCATGCATGTCTTGCTGCGGTGTTTACATATCGTTTGGAAATGTGTTGTGTTGTACTTGTCGTCATTAGAAAACATTTATAGCTGTAAAATGTTGGAAAGGTATTAGTAGAGGGAAAATAGTGTTGGGACTAAAAAAACATTGATAAAAAAGGAGAAAGAAAAACTGAAGAAAGAAATAAACTATAAATAAATTGAGGTAATATTAATGCATTATAAGCCCACAGATCTTAAGATGGCGTTACACATATCAGTCGACTGCTATGGCAGTACGGAATAGTAGTCGTTTGACTGTTAGTGTCAAATTGGTATGTAAAGCGTCAAATTTACATATAACGCTACTGCCATACACAAAGTTGAAAATTTTCTAGCGATAGCAGTAGTAGTAATTATAATAGTGCCAATAGACATGTTGAAGTACCAATGGCAATAGACATGTTAAAGTTTTACATCAGTCAAACCACACCTCTTCCGTACTGCCATAGCAATCGAGTGCTACGTGTAATGCCGCCTTTAATCTTAAAAATTGCTAACTATCTTGCAATCATTTAAAAAAGAAAACATACAGGTATCACAATATGTAGTTAAATACACTGATGGATGAGTTTACCAAAATTCTAATTTAGCTGCTTTTTTTGCAAATTCAAAAATATCAGAGAATCCGATGAAATGCTCAGACTTACAATCCTCATGACTTTCATCTTCTGTATACAGTGAATAACAGAAATTGAATAGTTTATTGTTATTATGTAAATTTTAAATAAGTAATTAATTCCCAGGTAAGCAAAAGTGAAGAAGTCTTTAAGAAAAATGTGGATAATATATAAACAAAAAAGAGTGCTAACATTCATGTCAAATATGAGTATTTTCACAAAATTTATATCCAAAAAACAAAACTGATAAAACAAAATTCACAAAACGACGATGTTCTACGAGACTGCAAAGATCAGATAAGCTAGTATTAGGCCATGTTGAAAACTAATTGCATGCCACAATCGCATTAACTTTCCAAATTACTATATTAAAATTTACTACCAATTTGGAAGTGATTGAAGCGTAATTGACTTGAAATGTTACCTCGTTGTTTTTAAAAAATACCATGACGTCAGCGAACAAGAAATCGTCATTACTTAAAAAGATAACACAAAGAAGGGAGTAGTTGTGAATACTCACGTGTTTTATAGAAATAAAGATCTATCAAGAAGGGCACAAACTTTGATTCGACGAGACAACAATTTAAAAAATATAGTCAATATGACCGTGTTAAGTCAATAAACATTTAATAGCTGCATTCGGAAAGAAGTTGATTTAAATATAATAGATCGGAACTTAAAATGGTAATTTGAGTTATTACAAGGAGATCAGCTTATTGACCATATTGCTCGACCTGCAGAAGAAGAGAACTGCGACTCTATTTCGAAAGTACCTATTAAGTTGTAAACCAATTTTGACACTTTAGTTTTTATGCTGTTAATGTAACAAAAAAAGTTTTTTTCAAAACAACATAATTATTTAATATTGGATTTAGAAATTGGTCTTTAATTACACTAAAATATTATATAGAATCAAATTAGATCATAAATTTTCAATCAAATGAACATTAATCATAAAACAAATAACTGTTATTTGCCAAACATGTAAATATGGTCCATTTTTTAGATTACGAAAATAAGCTCATCATATGTACTTCCTCATATCATTAAAAGCTAAATTTGATCGACACTAAGATCAAAGTTTATACTCTCCGGCTTCGACAGAGGTAGTTCATAAAAAAGATTATCCAAATAATTACGAATAGCATATAACATAATACTTTTTGTTATTAATCTATCAAGAAAATTTGGTTGATGTAAGTTGGTAATGTCAAGTAAATTGACATTAAGCTCCTTGATGGATTGAACAAAAAGCTAGAATGCCTGAATCACATCTGTTTTTGTGTTCTTCGTTGATCTCTTAAAGGACCATAGTTTAATGAAAATTTCTACTGCCTTGTTATTATACATCACAGAAATCCCTTTCAATGTTGGACCATGTATCGAGAACACAACATATTCTAACACTAAAATTGGCATCCTTAAATAGATAAAAGGCAGAATTATAACTCATTCTAGTAGCTAATTTAATTAAAACGAGACACAACAAACCATATCATGGTTCCAAGTCAAATGCAGCGATACTCTTAGTTAACTATACTATACTTGCAGTTGTCATTGATTCAGTTTTGAACCTAATACGTTTTTGCGGTATTCATGAAAGTTATTCGGGGGCAGCACAAGATCATCGATAAGTTGAATGCCGAAAAACTATTTCTGACATAGCAGGACACTAAATTGTCGAGACAACTGGCGTATCTAGAGAGCGAGATCCATTTCCAGTTATATTATAAATTGCTTCTCAATGCTTCCATTTCCATTGCGCGTATGGACAGTATCTATCACATTCATCATGGCCCGTACACGTGATTACCAAACATATCGCGATCCACATTCAAGGTGATGCCGATGTGCACAATGTGTTCACGCAACTATCTTGTATATTATTTGTTTTGTGCATATTGTATCGTTATATCTTCCGTTACCTCCTACGGAATGGCAAAATATATATGTATTAATAGTGAGCATAACGTTATTTGTCTAATGGAGACTGGGGTACATAATGGCGTGCAATTGGCGGAAGGTTTTCAGAATTCTTATGTCTTTAAATTGTCATGAGATTAAGTACAAATCCAATGATGTATTTATTTATGTACTTATTAATGTGTCGGGAAATATGGATGAGGCGCTTAAGGTAGTGGATGCTGTAGCTCGGTAATTCATGTTGTTTTTATTTGACATGTATCAGCTACTTTTTTATCTCGTAGATTTTACTTTCAAGACAATTTCAAAAGAAATAATCAAAAGGCAATAAGTACTAATAATCTTTTGTCGACAAGTCCCACTATTAACAGTTTTAATGGGCATGATAAATTATTAAGAACAATTTATTAAGTAACCCTTTCTCGAATCTGTAGCGTAATTGTGGCGAAAAGAGTATGCGATGGAGTCGGACGTTGTGAATAACGGTCTTGATAAAGACGACGAGCAGTTTTTCCATTACCTCGAGCTTCGCCATACGCAAGGATGTTGCTCAGCAACACTGAAATTCACGTCATGTTACTAAGCAAACTTGTTTTCAAACGGCTGAAACGTAGTACGTTTTCAAACATGGATTCCAATTCAAATTATTATCTACTTAGTCCCCTCTATAAGCCCTACAGGTTTATAAGGGGAATTTTAGAGCACCAGTATAAGTTATAAAGCAACAAATCTTCGCAAGTATGCCACCAATATCACAGTATTGGTATTGCAATACGCGATTTGCGTATTTGGTTGCATACTTGCAATGATGATGTCGGGAACGATAAATAATTAGCACAATGTATTTAATATTATAAAATTAAACATGACCTTCCAAAAACATCAGTTTTTCCCATGTTGAAAGTACCATGGTACACCTGTATAAACTAATTTGTTGGGATATTCACAAATCATCAAGGAAAACGAATTCAAAGATGGGAAACTGAAAGCAAATATTAAAAAAAATATTTTATTCTATATCAAAAATATGTCAAAAATGAAAAGAAACTATATTAACATAATCAAAAATTCCGATCGATTTTTAATGACTATCCATAAACTGCAACTCTGAAAGTAACATAAAATTATTTGGAATCGGTTTATGTTGAGGTGAGAGAACAGTGATTGTTTGTCGTTCCATATCCACGTTAGACCTTTAAAAAATCCCAATAAATATACATAATTGAATTTTACTAACATACACTAAAAACTTACACACAAATAAATCCAGCAACATGCGACTTAATCATATCGTCATCATCCTTTTCTGCGAAACTAATGGTCAAGATATGATGTAACAATCCAGGGTTAGGAGTAACTTGGACTAATTTCGTCAAATGATCCTCGGCTTTCATCCCAAGTGGTAAACAAGAATCTGGTAACGCGGGAGCGCCGATTTTATAAATCTTAATTTCACTCCATTTCAAATCGAACGAATGGGGATACAAAGAATTTTTTGGTGACCCATAAAAGTATTCTCGTATGCGTTGATCGCGTGTTTCGGAGCGTGCACTTTTTGAACGTTCAACAACCTAGCAATTACAAGAAATTAAAAAAATCTTAATGATTTCCCCGTTTTATATGACATACCCCACCACTTTTTGGTAAAAGAACAACTTTAACAAAATTAGGAATATCTCTAACCAATTCATTATAAAGTCTTTCTTGATCTAATACTAAAATCACATCAACTTCAAATACTGTAGCAGCGTGTAAAAGAGATTTGTACCCTTCTCCTTTAATCCAACCGCATGTGTTGATGATAACACCAGACATTTTTGCTAAATAAAAAGAGTAATCAAGCACAATTTTTTAAAATACAGTTAATCCTTGATATAACGGACCTTGTTAGAACATACATATTTAAATATAAATGTTAGCGCTCATAGATAGAATCCAACTTGGGTTATTCCCCAAGTTGCTCTATTCCATGTTTATACATAATCTTGGGGTATTCCCGGATTTATCTATATAATGTATAAATCAAGGATGGTAAAACTAGTTTTAATTATTACTCAGCCTAGAGTGTTGTTTATATTTATTGAACTAAAAGTAGAACTAACATTAGACCTAGAACTAGAAACATTCGGGTTTATCCAAACATTCATGGGCATAAAATCATTCATTTAAACAGTTTAAAGTGCAAATTAAAAAATTTTCATATAATGAACACCCCTTCCCTATATTAATCCATTATATCAAGGTTTTACTGTATTATATTTGATCCAGTAACTCAATTTTGAACTGGTAACCACATATTCTTGATACCTCATCATTTCCTGATAACTTTATTTATAGATCTTTACAACTCTAGCTGTCTGAAGCAATTTTTGAATAAATATTTTTAATGGATGATGCAGTTAATGATCGCCAAAATTGAGTTACAGTCTCACACAGTAAAGAATTTTGATTATAATTACTTTTTTTATTAACTTCAATTCTTTCTTTAACAGTCGTCGCTAATTGAGTTAAAATCATATTAAACAAAGCGGTATTTGCACTGGGCGTTTTGTTGCCAAAATGGTATACTAAAGGAGCTTCTTGGGAAAAACCCTCATCGATTGATGCAGGCCTTTCAATTAATAAAGCACCTAAACAGAAAATTAGACAGGATTACACAAGAAGAAAAAACACTTTACTTTTACAATCAAATATTTTTACCAATTGTTCCTGGAATAGAAATTTGTCCTTGCCCTACATCTAAATCAACAAAAATAGGCCTCCGTGACATCCTGACTGCATAATTTAACAAAATCCTACAAAGAGTACTTTTCCCCACATCCATAGGCCCAACAATCATAGTTGTGGGTCCTTTTTTATTGTCTTTTTCCGCATTTATTCTCATTTTCTCCAACGCAGCATGGCAATTTGTATAGATAACCATCGGAGTTTCTTTGGCCACATAATGAACATCTGTTTTACCTTTTAATTCCAAAACACATCCTTGCCAAGTAAACACCGCTACTTTAGCCCCTGAGGAGAACTCGTACGTCTTTCCCTTAACGAGTTCTGTGCCAAAGACTTCGGCCATCCCCGATTTTAAGATCAGGTACACTTTTTCATGTTTGGATTCTATTTCAAAACGAAGTTCGCTATCTGCTTCTAATTTACATTCTTGGACAACACTTTTCTTTTCACTTTCAGCTGCCATCGTTTATTAGGTATAATAAAAAGATTTCGAAGTTAATTTTAAGTTTAAACATAACATAACCTCTAATGATTGTAATCGAAAGTGGTGTTTATTGGTTTATTGGTGTTTATAGAGGGCGCTAGTATTGATATAAATGTGGCGGAAAATTAAAAAATTAAATTGTTCATATTATTAAATTAAATTTTCCCCAAAATATTTTTGTAATATATATAGATTCTAACTCAATAATTTTCTAATTATTAGTTTTATAAACATTTATAAATAAATTATCTTTTTAGTTAATTTTTAAATTAATAGATGGCGCTTAAATAATAACATAAATAATCACGGTGTGCATTGCGCAAATGTCAAATTTGTTAGTAACATGTGAGGTTATAAAATTGTGTTCCGGTAAAAATTCAAATTCGAGAAGAAAAAATTCTCAATGTTACCTCTAACGCAATATAAAACGTTGTTGTTTGACGGTCGTTTACCAAAAACGTACCGCTACGTGAGCAAATACCTAAACAAAGATAGGTTATCAAAAAATGTGCGGCAAAAATTTTTGGATTATTACATAAATGATAACAGCCACAATTTCGTACGATCTAGCCCCGTGGTACCGTTTTGTGATCCTACTGTGGCTTTTGTGAACGCTGGCATGAATCAAGTAAGTGTCATAAATTTAAACTTTGAGTTTTGATACCTAATTCAAATTGCAATTTTCAGTTTAAAGGTATTTTACTTGGACAACAAATACCTATACATAAAAAAGTGGCCAATAGTCAGAAATGTGTGAGAGTTGGGGGCAAACACAATGATTTAAATATTGTTGGAACAGATGGATACCATCATACATTTTTTGAAATGCTGGGTAGTTGGTCTTTTGGGGCTTATTATAAGGTTACTGTCATATTATTTCTCAAATCAAATTGAAAATATGAATTATTTTTTAGAAAAAAGCATGTGAATTAGCTTGGAAATTATTGACTGACATTTTCAAAATTAATAAGAATATGCTTTATGTCACTTATTTTAAAGGTAATCCTCGTTTACATTTAGAACCTGATTTGGAATGTAAAGAAATTTGGAAATCTTTAGGGTAAGAAATGATTTTCGAAGGGAAAATTAAATAATTTAATTTTTGTGCAATATAATAGAGTGTCAAAGATTTCTTATAACTTTTATGTCTTTATTAGTATACCAGAAGATCGAATATTACCATTTGGTATGGATGATAATTTTTGGGAAATGGGAGCTATTGGACCTTGTGGTCCATGTACCGAGATTCATGTAGATATGAGAGGACCTACAAATAGAGCAAAATTTGTTAATAAAGGTTTACATGATCTACAAGAAATTTGGAACATTGTGTTTATAGAATATAAAAGGTATAAACAAATTTAAGTTTTATACCTTCTTGTTATCATTTTTTAATTTATTTTTTAATAAAGAAATGAAAATGGTGTGATAGAAAAGCTACCATTAGCACACATTGATACTGGGATGGGTTTTGAGCGACTTTGTGCAATTTTACAAGGAAAAACTAGCAATTATGATACTGATTTATTTGCACCGATTTTTAATGTAATCCCAAAGGTAACTATTATAAAATAATACCTAATTACCATCCTCCTAATAAACTATCTAGGGCAGGATTTCCAAACTAGGGAGCCACATCTTATTGTTTCATGTAATATTTTTGATTTCATGAAGAAAAGAAATTAGGGACTGAAATAGTTTTACCGCCACGTTTTTTGTTACATCCTTTTTTTGTAAAGCTTTATTTATCCTATTTATAGTAGACACAACATCATTCCATACTTCCTTAAGGATTCAATATTTTTCATTTTTTTTGCGTAACATTTAGTGCTTAATTTTTGTTTAATATGGCTGACTTTCACTTTCTGCGATTGATTTTAAAGCATTTAAGTTGTTTTTGTAGTCGCTATACAAAGCGTTTATTGTATCTGCGCGACCAGATCAACTAGTCTCAGAAAGACATTTAACAACCTGTTTATCTGGCTCTAAAAAGTCTTATATTGTACTCCACTTATAGTTTCAAGCCAAAAAAATTGTATACATTTCTAATAATAATAATGTTTATTGCCTCAAAAACAAATATTTACATAAATATATACATTCATAACAAATATAGACATCAAGGCAAACGGATCAATTTATCTCAATAAGCGATATCTTCCAAGAGACCCAACTGGTAACAGCGTATATGTAATTTTAAATAAATAATCATGGCTACCAAAAAAAGTAACGGATCGACAGTCAGTTACTACAAGGAAGGAAATAGCCACACAAAAAAGTGCAGTAAAAGATAGATGAAAGGCAGACTAGAGAACAAAACAAACATGTATAGGTCAAGAAGAAGATAGTTGAAGAGATAGCAGATGGCGCCTCAAGGCATTTTTAAAACTTATTAAACTAGCTGCATTGCGGACGACGGCAGGCAAATCGTTCCACAACCCAATCGACTGCACTGTAAAAAATCTGTGGTAGATTTTAGCACTATGGACTGGAAACATGAGTGTAGAGTCCGACATTGACCGAGTGTTGGAGTCATGTGATGCTAAAAAGTGAAAGGCATCAGACAAATAAGCAGGAGTGCGGGCATGGACAATTTTGTACAACATAGTAAGCATACGAAATGATCTACGACTCTGGCAAGTCATCATCAGTAATGTGCTGAAACTTTCCTGAATCAAGAATGTACCATATACAATTGTTCTGAAGTCTTTCCAATTTACTCCGAAGAGATACGCAGCATCGGCATAATAAATGTGTGGGAAAATGAGAGAATAACAAAGATTACGACGTACAATGTATGGAAACAAAAGTAGACCCTTTTACAGACTCCCTGAATGGACTCCCTGGCCTTGTGGCCGCCAAGACATCGCCGAATCCATTACCACACCAAGATTTTTGACCGTATTAGAAAACGGAATAACGGTGTCGCCAAGTCTCAGTTGAAGGAATTAAATTGTGCCAGCAAGGGGCGAGTGCCAAATTCAATGACTTGCGTTAACCTGGATTCAGGTTAAGTCCATGTCGTTTAGATAAGTCAAGCACGCTAGAGAGATCGTTGTTAAGATGCAACAACGCATCTGGGAGGTTGTTAACAGTTGATGAAATATAAAGTTGAGGGTGATCTGCATATAAATGATAGTCACACGAGATACCATCACTAATACTATTTATGAAAATTGAGAAGAGCAAAGGACCCAGCACACTGCACTGGGGAACTCCACATTTGATGTCGACAGGAGAAGAGAGTACAGATTTCACGCGGACACGTAAAGACCGATAGGAAAGGTAGGATTTGGAACCAAGATACACAAAAAGAGGTAAAACCAATAACAGAAAGCCTAGTTAACAGAATGACCATGGTCCACAGAATCAAAGGCTTTACTAAAATCAAGTAACACTAGCAAGGTAACAACAAGCTTATCACAAGCAGATCTAATATCATCGGTGATCTTAATCAGTGCTGTAGTAGTACCATGCCCTTCACGAAAACCAGACTTGTTAATCAGATTAAACTCCTCAAGATATTCCTGAATCTGTAAATAGGCTAAACGTTCAATAGCTTTTAACAACGTAGATAGAATAGAAATGGGTCGAAAGTCACCAACATGGGAGAACAGTTGAAAATATGTGTTAGGGGAGTAATAATTATATCCAGAATGGATAAGAGGAATCTGAGTCCAATACCATCTGCTCCGACACTAGTGAACTTGGAGTAAGTTAAAGCATTCCGGACCTCAGCATCTGTAGTCAAGCTGAATAAAAAGGAAAGCACGTTAGTAGATGCCAGGATTTCATTTCATTCTAGAGCAACAGCATCAAGAGTGGGTAGATCTGTGGGAGACTCTATAACACCAAATCTTGCAACGATGATGTTCCCGATTGGCAGCAGAAGGGCTACGTTTGAACAATAACTTAGCATGGTTGCGCTCCCGCATGAGGCACCTAATCTCATCATTCAGCCAAGGAGACGGCATGTGTCTAGCTCTCCGCCGCCTGTCTGGAGCATCCTTGTCATAGAGGTCAAGAACCTTGGAATTAAAGTACTCCACCTTAACATGTTTGTCAGGCAATCGGTAAAGCGGCTGCCAATCAATTTCGCTCGCATCAGAATCTCCCATCAGAATTTCTGAATAAATTGGAAAAAATCAGTTACTTCTATATTACAATGAATTGCGTGCACATCAACTAAGTTTATGTATACGCCCCACATGGTGCAATGTTCTTTCAATTTTGTTGGTAAGCCAGAATATTGACTTGCTGTATTTAACGCATTCTCGTAACTTTGACCTCGGCAATTTTTAGTGTTAATATCATATTCCTTGAGGAATTCCAACAGTCTTAACTCGCATGAAACGATGGTAAGCAATAAAATATGGAACAAAAAATATAAATAGGCACTCAGATTCCTAAGGCATTAAATCTGCCCCCGTGACGCGACTCAATCTTATCGGGCTACTTTTTAACTTTTTTTTTATTTGGCTAAAATTTATTCAAATTTTAATAGTAAATGTTTTATTTATAATTTCGAAATGTCCTCGAGCTGTTTATTAACTTCGAGAGGATCTTCGAGTCAACCATGAGATGATGTGGTTAGATTCTGCTGTTATATGATTTTTTGTAGGTGGGCCATACAGGAAGAGGTACTAAACGTTGACCTTCTCATAAACATTGTGTTTACGGAAGAAGCAACATTTACTCAAAACGGAATTCTTAATATCCATAATGCGCACATTTTGAGTGATGACAATCTCCATGCAATACTAGTGCATCAGTGGCTATCAGTGTTAATGTATAGTCCGCAGTTATAGGTGACCAGTTATTAGGGCCATTTTTTTTTTTAATTCCAAATAGATTGACAGCCGATGCTTCCATATTTTTTGACAAAATGAGCTTACTGAGGTATTTGGTGAATTACCTCTGCAAATGCTTGCAAACCTTTGCACGATGGAGCACCAGCACATTATACACGTGCAACTCGAGCATACTTAGATGACAGATTTGATAATAATTGGATTGGCCATGGTCCTGTTATGTGGCCACCTAGTTTACCATTTTTAAATCCGTTAGATTTTTGGTTTAGATGACATTCAAAACAAATAGTTTATTCTGATGAAGTTTAAAATGTGCAGGATTTGAAAAATACAATTAGTAACGTATTGATAGTAGTAAAACAAATGTTAATCATACAATTACTACATCTAAATCGTTACAACTAATGATGTTAAGAAAAGGTCAACTTATGAAACTAAAACTTGGAATATCTCGAAAATGAACCATTTTCGGACCTATCTTTATAAGACTTTTTTGTTTATTTTCGACCAGAGAATACGCTCTTGAGGTATTGTACAATCGTTGCGGGACACCTGTATATGATAGACTATAATTATTACCAATTTCACCAGTACAGTAGTACGTGAGGGCGAACTAATCCGCGAAATAAAAATCCAACCTGGATTGAGGCAGAATTGTGGCCTGGCCCCTTTAATATTCCTAATTACCTATAATGCACTGGATGATGAGAGGAACAATAAGTAATATATCAGGTATAAATTGAAAAGGTTTAGCAAAATTGGAAGATTGCAGACGACATGTTACAAAAAAACAAATACAATACAAACTAGGAAAATTGAAGGAGTTAGCAAATAACATTGGTCTCCATATAAATCCACAATAAACAAAATTACTTAGGACCACTTTTACCATTTCTTAACAGATTTATCAGATAGATAAATCTAGCTCTTAGCCAATGAGAGGCTTTAGAACAGCTGTATGACCCCAACCCAACGCAACTATCTTCTAGATAGTTTATCAGGAGGATGATAAAAATGGGCCTTACCAAAGAAGGTAATAAAGGAGATGAGATAAGAACTGATAGGACAAGAAAATTAATAAAGAAGGTGGAAACAATAATTAAAGCAAAAAAAAATAAGGGTGGTGTACTTTACGAAGGTCACAAAACAATATAACAAGACAATACCTTGAATATTTGATAAAGGAGGACGAGGAAACCAAAGAACACAAAACTTAAATAGAAGAATAAACAAATACAACAAACTAATAAAGGAACTGCCTGATAGATGCTAGGAGGATAGACGTCACCAGATGCTAAAAAACTTAAATACAGGCAAATAGGGTTGGCAATCTTAGGGATAAAATACTACTTCTGGTTATACAGGTGATTCAAGAAACCGTTGACAGACTTCTAAGGCAGGTAATACATGAAAAATTAAGATGAATAGTCTTAATATACATGAGCTCCCTTAGGTTATCAATCCTCTTTGATTGATAACAAATATTCATACCTCATAGGAGATTAAGGATAGCATAGTTGAATTGGTAGAATATCTATGTAGGCATACATTTTTATTCTTCCATCAACCTTGCCTTATGCAATTCTAGTTAGGATCCATGCATCGATATTTTCCAGTTTCTCATTGACAACACATTGCAACATTTATTTGATTAAGTCTTCAGATATAAACATGTCATAAATTAATTTATCTAATCTCATAAAATCTAGCTATCTTTTCGAATCGCCAAAGTTCGTGCCTCACTTCATCCTCTTGCTATTAAAATAACATTGCAAACCTGATTCATTTTAAGTAATTAAGATTTAAATTATTTTCTAGATATGTAAAGACATTCCATCATATAATAGTGTTTTTGGAGAAAAAGATTGGAATAATTTACATACAAATTACCGAATTTTAGCAGATCATACTCGCATGTTAACTGTGTGTTTGTCGGATGGAATGATCCCAGAAGCTAAGTAAGAGGTGCACTTTAATATTTCCACAACTTTTTATACTATAAAATAATTGCTTGTTTATTTAGCCAGAAATTGCGAAGAATTATGCGCAAAGCTTTCTACATAAGCGATTCCGTTTTTAAACAAGAATACGGATTAGTTAAAGAATTATCGAATTTTGTCGTCGAAATATTAGGCGGTGCTTATCCCGAATTAGAAAGAAATATTAGTTACGTACATCAAATATTAGATTACGAAGAGAATCTTTATCGGTATTTAAGATCGTCCTCGACGTCAGAATGGAAAATAATATTGGAAAGTGAACCGAATTTAAATGAATTGGACATTTTGGAAATGCCGGGTCTTTTGGGCGCTTACAAAAACATTCGGGGGTGCAACTTACAAGAAATAACCCCAGAATACGGATATAAACTTTATGATACATTTGGGTTAGATGAAGATTCTATAATTAAATTAGCAATCGGGTTGCAATTACCTATAGATGTAGATAGATTTAAAATAGCTTTAGAAACGTCCAAACAAAAAACGAACCAACAAAACCCCGATTCAAGAACAAATAATCTTTTAGAAAAACTTGAAAAACTCCAAGCAACCCCGACCGATGATAAATTCAAATATCGTTATGGAAAAATCGATCAAAATTACATTTTCCACGGTATTGAAGCAAAAATTTTATTTATTATAAAAGACGGCGTTTTAACCAATGATATTTCCCCAAACCAAGACTGCACGCTCATTTTCGATCGAACGACTCTTTACTGTGAAAGTGGTGGCCAATTGAGCGACTCGGGTTACGCTATTTACAAAGACGGTGTTTTTGAAATTAACGAGTTAGAAAATATAAACGGAATCATTCTTCATAAAGGCAAATTCAAAGGGACACAAAATCTTTCAGTCGGCGAATTTTTAAAACTCAACGTCGACGAGGATAAGCGATTAAAACATATGAGAAACCATACCGCAACGCATTTATTGAATTCCGTTTTGAAAAAAGTAAAAGGGGCGACATGTCAGAAGTCAAGTAAAGTTTCAGAGAAATGTTTAAGTTTTGACGTGGGTGTTTTTGGTGATAAAATATCTGCTGTCGACATTAAAAACGTTGAAAAGATAATTGGTGATGTTATACGTGAAGGTGTTCCTGTTAAAACTAGTGAGGTTGACAGCTTAGAGTTATTAACGCATGATAATATTACTATGGTTCCTGGGGAAGTTTATCCTGAAGCTGGAATTAGATTGGTTGAGATTGATGGAAGTAATATTACTTCAAGGTGATTTTGTTCAACATTTACATTTATTTTAAGTTACAAATAACTTCAATTTTGCATCTCTCGTTTTAGAGAACCTTGTTGCGGTACACACGTTTTAAACACATCAGACATAATCGATTTTTGCGTAACAGGCTGTAAATCTCTTGGTAGGAGTACAGCATCCATTCAAGCTGTAACCGGTTACCGAGCCAAAATCGTCCGCGAAAATGGCGTTCAAATTGTCGACGATATAAACACTTTAAAGAAAAACATAAATAACAATAGCGACAAGGTAAAAAATTAATTTTTAAAAAGTAGTTTAACATGTAGTAGTTATAAAAAAACGTTTGAAACTTGAATACGTATTGTAACTAAAGCAGGGAGTTTTAGCCGGAATTATTTAATAATAAATTGGCTCATTTAAAAAGTCTTTTAAACGTTCATCCAATGGATGAGGATGCAATTCCGTTTATAATTAAATTGTATGGATTAGAGGAGTTGGAGAATTTGAATAAAAGAGTTAAATCTGCCACAAAGGATGCATTAAAGTAAGTTATTATCTTACATCTTGCTAATTATTTTCAAAAATTAATTCAACATTAAAGGGAAATCGTCGAAATGGAAATGAAAAACGCTTTAGAATTAAATTTAATGAAATCGAAATCCGATAAACATTTCATCGTTCATTATTTACGATCGTCGACGATGTTAGAATCAATTCCTTTGCAAAAAGCTACTAAAATCTGCTCAAACACGCCAGTATTGGTTATTTCATATACAGATAGCACCGTTAAAGCTAGATGCTGTGTTCCAGAAGTATGTCTTTTTTATAATATTTTAATTATAACTTTATAATTTTTTTTAATTCAGACCTTCCAATCTCAAGTTTTTAATGCTCAAACATGGTTGAGTACTGTAAGCATGGTTTTTAAGAGTGTTGCTCAACCGCCCAAAGGACAAGACCCAAGAAATGTGTGCAATATGAAACCCAAGCATGTTAATATCCGCGAATGGGATACTTTGCTTAAAGAAGGAATAAATGTTGCGACCTCGTTTGCTGAAGCCAAGCTTTAAAAAAGAATATTATGTGAAATTTATTTGTCATTATTGCTTCGTTTGTACATTTTTATGACTTTTGTTGAAATGTTTGAGTATATTTACTTATAAAAATATGCATTTTCACATTATATATGCAATTTATATGTTTAACCGCCTGTTTACCTCTTTATAGTATAAGTATATAACTTAGTTGAAGATCTGCCAGAGTCATAGATCCATTTGGGATTCTATCTATTTATAAGCGCTTATACGTTGGGTAAGGACGTTTTAGCGCTAAAGTGTATTCAATTGTATTCAAGTCAAGAGGTTGTACTTCATATTGCGTGATAATGTGTTTTGAAGCTTCTAAGAAGAACGAGTACCATCAAACCGGATTATCTGAGACAATTTACAATGCTTAATACAAATGAAATTTCTTTTAGTATGTATATGCGATAAATTTTACCAAAAAGCATACTGTAATGGAAAAACTATCCTTGAAGAGAACGAGATAGATCTATATCGCAAACATATGTACCAAATGAGGAGAGTGTGGTGTCTGATATTGATAATAATTTTGATGGCATAAAGAAATGATTTGATGCCATAATACAGAGTGACGCAGCAAGTCTTGTAGACCAGGCAACTATTTTGACTAACCTTAAAGAAGGAATTTTTGTAAAAGTTCTAACCGCTGCTCAAACGATATATATAGTTGTAAATCATCTGCTTATGTATATTTTGCATGGCGCAACCCAGATTGAAGTTGCTGCCTGCTATTGCAAATCTCCACGACCTGAGTCAAATAACTTTGAATTAACAACTCGAATTCACTCCCAATTCCCAAGTACTCTAAATCTGAACAAAATACTTCACGACCACCTATCAAAAGTTCTACTAAAATCTAACAATTCCAAAGCTTAATTCAACTTTAAATCCTGAGCATTACAGATGAGTGATTTGAGTACTAGTCAGCAGTATTCGCGAAAACTAATTAAAATGCCGAATTTGACAATCAATAGCGAATTGACCCCCATTTCTCCAAGAAGTCAGCTATAAGTACCAAATATCTTTTACAAACCGACTTTCAAGCGGGGCGAAAAACGAAAGTGATCCTCTCCACCCAAATACTACTCGTTTCTTGCAGCATCGGTGCCGTTATAAACCTACTCTCGATAGTAGGGCTGTTACCTTTACCTTCGATCAAATAGAAAAATTGACTATTCACGCAACTTTATACCCTTCTAGCGAATTACAACACCAACTGGTAAATATTTAACAATACTTTAGGAGTTGATACTCTTATTTTTCTTAACTCGAAGGCTGATGTTGAGACAACCATCATAAGCATAACCCAAGCTATCCAACAAGCTACATGGGCTGCAACCCCGACGGCAAAATGCACAGATGGACTAAATATTGCTGTGAGACCTTGACGTTGGTAGGAAAGCTTAATTCTGGATATAAAGTGGTTTAATGAATAGCTCAAAAAGATGGCTGATAAGGGAGTACGTGCTAGTATTGGAGCCAATAAATACTAAACTCCGAGCCTCTATGGCTGTTAAACCGGCAAGTCTTGTTCAGAGAGGACTGGGCGAAAGACGAGTGTTCGGTGCCTTAAATCTGGGCTACTACGGTTATCCCAATAGAAGAATCCCTGGTCATAGATTGTAAGTTAGGCATAGGGCCAACCACTATATCGTAAAATTCTACTCAGTCGTTACAAAAGGAACCTAAGGAAGGCGTTACACGCAAAGAAATTGATTGCAGTTTGCAACGTGGAATGTAAGAACATAATGGAAACTACAGTAGCAAAGAACTAGAGGAAGGCCAAAGAAACGATGAAAAGATGATGTGATGGAAGATGTTAGAACAGTTGGTATACGAAGCTATAAGCGTATTTACGAGAAGGGAAAAATAACATATTATGAAGCAAGCCAAAGTACGTAGGGGGCTGTAATTCTGGAAGAAGAACAGATTAATTACTTCTTAACACAATTTACAAAATCCAAAACCCAACGGCACACGAAAAATCCAATTAAGATGCAGCATGGATAATAAGCATGTAAGAGAGGATGATGAAAACATGATCGGCAAGTTTTCCAAACAGCTGCCATCAGTATTCTGACTTCATGAACAAAAAATTATTACATGAAGAAAATCATATAGCGAATGTCTAAACTGGGTTTATGAAGTGTCTAAATGGGTTAGGATTTAACCCTTTATGGATCAAGCCTATATAGGAATACAATGTAAAAAGGCACTATGAAACGGAGCATCCTACTTTTACCAATTACAGGCGAATTAAGAAAGCAAAAAATGTTGTCTTTAAAACAGGAGCTTATTGGTCAGCAAGCTATGTTTATAAAACCCATTCAAGATTCAGAAACAGCTACAGAAGTTAGTTATGAAATTTCTCGAATGATAGCAAAGCGAAGTCGCCCCTTCAATGATGGGGATTTTGTAAAAGAATGCATAGAAATTGCCGCTAAGAAAATGTGTCCAGAAGCAGCAAAAAAGTTTGAGAAAATTCAACTGAATCGTATGACTATCCAAAGACGAATTATGTCTTTGTCAGGTAATATTGCGGAACAATTAACTGAAAAAACCAAGATCATTGAATTTTTTTCATTAGCACTCGACGAATCCACTGATATTAGTTCCACAGCTCAACTTCTCATATTCATACGAGATGTTACTCAAGATTTTGAAGTCTTAGAAGAGTTATTAGGAATGTGTTCATTGAAAGGTCAAACCAAAGGAGTTGATATACTCAATGTACTTTTGGATGAGTGTTCAAAAACTGATTTGGACTTATCAAAATTATCGGGAGTTGCGACTGACGGTGCTCCTTCGATGATTGGTGACAATTCCGGGCTAGTTACTTTGCTGAAAAAGCATCTGCAAGAAAAAAACATAGACGCTGAAGATCTCATGCAGTTTCACTGCATTATACACCAAGAAGCCCTCTGTTCTAAAAAAATTGAATTTCAAAATGTCATGAAAGTGGTAGTTTCGACGGTAAACTGCATAAAATCACGAGGACTCAATCACAGGCAATTCAAACAATTCCTTGATGACATCGAAAGCGAATATGGAGATTTACTGTATTATACAGAAGTAAGGTGGCTAAGTCGTGGATTGACACTGGAACGATTTCCAAATTTAATAGAAGAAATTGGAATATTTCTGGCGGAAAAGCAAAAGGATGTCTCGGAACTTAACAATCCTGATTGGTTGTGTGATTTGGCTTTTTTAGATGACATTACAAATCATTTGAATGTCTTGAACACACGGCTTCAAGGCAAAAATCAACTGATATCCCAGCTCTACGCTCATGTATCATCCTTTCAAAGCAAGCTGACACTTTTCAGATCGCAATTGAATTCTGGAAATTACAATCATTTTCCGAATTATAAGAAAATGGCTAAAAAATTCAACAAAACTGCGATTAATTTCACTTATGTAGAAAAGCTAGATATTTTGATTCAATCTTTTCAAGACAGATTTTCGGAGTTTAAAAAAGTGAAACCTCTGTTGGACATATTCAGCAATCCTTTCACGATTTCAGTTGAAAATGCGCCAGAGTCAATGCAGTTAGAAATTATCGACATTCAAAACGACCAAGATTTACGCAACAAATTCAACGAAGGAGACTTGCAGAACTTTTACCGCTGCATTGATAAAAATATGTACAAAGAGTTGCGCATAAACGCTCTGAAATGTGCCAGCTTATTTGGTTCTACCTATATATGTGAACAAACTTTTCCAATACTAAATAATAATAAAACAAAAAATCGAAACCGCCTTGCAAATGATAGTTTGGAAACAGTTTTACGTGTTGCTACAAGTAAATTTGAGCCAAATATAAAAAAGATTGTAAGCACTATGCAGTGCCACGCTTCAAATTAATAAATTTTTTTCAATTTTAATACATTACTATCAATTCTTTATTGTCTTTAATTACCTATACTTCTCTGCGGCCCGCCATCAGTTCATAATTTGCCCGAGTGGCCCCTAGTCTTAATAAGTCTGTGCATCGCTGGTCTAAACCTTTGCACTTTGATAAATTTATTCGAAATCGCCAGACCCATTGTCATTAACATGTTATATTCTTCTAAGTACTTTCTTCTCGAATCTCCCTATTGCTTCTTGGCGTTTCTGCACTAAGGTCCATGTTCCCGACTCATAAGTACTAATCGTATTAAGGTCTTGTATAGGACTACTTAGATTTGTTTGGTAGCTCATATGTGAAGTGTGTTTAAACCCATGGAAACATTTGTTGACTTGGATTATGCTCTTCGTTATTTCCTCGCTGAACTAATTTGTATTATTCATCAGGAATCGCAAGTATACGAAATTTCTAACCATCTCTATCTTGTCATCCCCAACTTCCAAATGTTATGGTATGTTTCAACCACTGGCCTATGCGACCATACACTTGTCTTTGTAAAATTTATCTTTAAGCCCACCTTCTCCGCCTTAGGGCAATATTACAAAGCAGACATTACAGCCCATCTCCCTGTCATAGACGTTCGTGGCTTTCAAATGTTCTTGATAGATCTGATCTCTGTTCTAACTTTACAGGAAACTTTGGGGGGTATATTATTAAACTGTAACATATTGTTTTGATAAATTTTATTAGAAGAAGGCCTATATTATATACTATAGGCGGATTTAGTGAGTATCACAGGACCAAAACCACTCGAACACGCATCGCCGTCGGTGCTGGTCCCTGAGGCATGGCTACCTAATCTGAGTGTATCCTGGAAGTATTAACTACACTTATGGTACTTACTTTTATTTTATATTAAATTTAAATGTTTTGGGAATTGATACAGCTAACGCTGAGTTAATAACCTAATAAGTAATAAAGCACAAGTCAGCCATTGTCATCAGTGTTGCTATGAATTTAGCTTGCAACATGAATTTATAATAGTAGCCTACCGCATTTAATTCTTGAACTCTGGTAGAAACAAAGCTTTCTAGCACAAATCCTGCTCAAGCTGATACATACATAACTCGAGGGATGATCATGATCTTATTGTTAAATTTCCGCTATATCCAGAAACTCGCCTATAACGTATTTGCAACATAACCCAGTAATGATTTTAATCTGATTCTATATCCTCCACACTCCTTATAGCTTGAAACCAAACTGATGTTGTCTAATATATTTGCTTTACACATAATTATTGTATACATCATGACGATGGGTTCTCTTATTCTTCAATATCTATATGCCTTCAAATCTTCTTTTTGATTATCTTATTATCTAAATTTTCAACTACTTTGCTTTTTTGAATAAAAAAAATTAATTAATATATCACTTTATGTTTAGGAAACAATCTTTTTTAGTATCACAGGATAAAGAAAAAAAGAAGGTTTCTTAACTGGATATATATTTCTAAAATTCTTCAATAAGTACAATATATTCTGTGATGCAACAACCAAGTGTTGACAATCAATTACAATAATAATAATCAATAAAAGTAAATAATAATAATGATATTAAAAAAGTGGAATGTATGTACCTATACAAGTATACGTCCAGAATGAAGGAAAAAAATTATTTTTTAAATTGGAATAATGTTTATGTATGTATACAATTTCATTACAGACTTATGATTAGCAGAGGCCTCTTTACGGACGGAGGAAATTCGAGTTACTCGTTATTCGCGGTTACTATTATTTTTTTCAGTTTACATTTTCGTTTAAAAGGCACTATAATAGAATACTTTTGCTTTACTTAGCTTTTTTTTAACAGAATCGGTAAATGTATAATAAATTTAAAATACATAATTAAAGGTACACAAAGTATAAAATCTTAATAAACTGTTTATATACACGGAAAAAGAAGAGAAAGTTGAAATAAATTAAGGACCTAAAAGTAGGGTTTTAAAAGATTTTTTTAATAAAATGGAAGGTATTAAAAGATTTTTAAGTTTTAAAATAAGCAAAAAAAACCCTGTTTATCGGAATAGATAAATTTTTAATAATGATAAAATTTCTTTTCATTTTAAAGCCACGATTAAAATCTTTAAAATTGTTTCATTTGATATGTCTTAATTAATTAATTAATATTCGATTAAAATAAATATAATACAAATCTTAAATACTGAATAAAGATATAAAGTGAAAAATAAAAAAAATAATAGCTTTTAAGTACATATGTTTCTCTCATTTGAATATCTATGTATAATTTTTTTCTTTAAACAAGTAGATATGAATCATTGATTCAATTCGTCAATCACTTTTTTTTAATTAATTCCTAAATTTAAATAAATGGTAAGTACTCAAAAAAATACATTGTTACTATACTTTTTTTACTTATTAACATTACGGAATGTTGGAAAAAGTCTTATAGTTCCCATTTATAAGTATTAAATCAATTCAGTTAATTCAAATAATTTAGAATTAACTATTTAAGATGAAATAAAAAGAACTCGCAAATTGAGCATTAAAAAAAACATCTTATAAATGTAATATTCCTCCCTCTTCCCTCGTTACAGTTTCGTCCAGTGTTAAACCAGCTGTTAAATCAACAATTTCATCATTATCGTATTTGTCTTCAGGATCGGAACCGGCCGTTGTTGCCGAATGTTGTGATCCACTAGAAACTTGGGAATTTCGACTAAAACTGTTTCTTCGAACCGGTGGTCCGACGGTCCTTTGATTTGCCGGTTTAACGGTAATTATCAAATTTGAACTGTTCGCGACCATCATATCGGTAACTTGATCTAATGTTTTACCAAAAACTTCGATTCCGTTTACCTCTAAGACTTCATCATTAACAGCTAATAGGCCCGTCGATTCCGCCAGACCACCAGGTACTAAACGGGAAATAAAAATCCCCGGAATTTTTTCCAATCCATTTTGCGTGACTCGTACGCTCGTTCCGTCGCGAATGTAAAAACCTAAAGGTTTATCGCAACCGTGTTTTAATAACCTTACCCTTCGACACGTTTCCGGTACGATATCAACATCTATGATTGCCGACACTTGACGAAAGTCATGGGGATTTGAAATGGCTAAGGTTTTGTGTCGCGTTGGGGCTCCTCCTAGGATACTAGAAATTAAATTTCGCGGTTTCATCGTTCCATAACCATTCAGTTCTTCTAAACTATCCCCTACAAATTAAAAAAAAAATTAAATAACGATTTAAAATAACATTTTTATTTATTACCTTTTCTTTGAATAATAACTCTAAGGAGGGGTTTAGCATTAAGTAAGGCTCTGCGTAAATTTTCGTCATTGTTAATTGGTAGTAAGTCTTGGTCGCTTGGATCGATATAAGACACTAAAAAGGCGATATCTTTCAATTTGTGAAGACGCTCTAAAAGGGATCGGAATTGTTCGAATTGCGCTTGAGTATCTCGATCGACGGCAAAACGACGAAATTCTGCATCAAACTAAAACAATAAAGATATCGTATAATATAACGAATGATGTATTTAATGGAGTCAATTAAATAGAATTGTATTGGAATTAATAAGGACATATTAAAATATCTCAAATCAATATCTCAGATTCTAAAACCGAAAAATTTTTTTGACTACGTCATCGAATTCTCCGTAAAAAAGTGTCCATATAATGCCTTAGTTATAACACTCCACTTATAATAATAAGCAAGATAATTGCACTTGCTGGTTTTACGATATTTTCAATTTTGGCCTGTAGGGGAAAAACAAAAGACGATAGCGCTTTGAGGTTTTCGACATTGGAATTTATTTAAAAAAAGAGATCGAGACATGTCAGCAACTTTTTTTCTAACTCTTATAGTTTCCTAGATAGCCTATTCGGGCATCGAATTTGAACCACCCTGTACATGACCACAAATATCAAGATTATACAGCATTAACTTTAATAAAATGACATATTGAACTTCAAGTTTGGAAATTAAAATGTATGTACTCATACTCTATAGATAAGAAATGCTTCCAAAGATGTACATTGCGTTAATTAATTATCGTACCCGACGTCATCATTGCAAGTATGCAACCAAATACGCAAATCGCGTATTGCAATACCAATATTGTGATATTGGTTGCATAATTACAATGATGACGTCGGGTACGATAATTAACACGCTGTAGCTTCCAAGAACAATAACGAGAGTACACCAAAATATAATATATCACTCTTAAAAAAACTTGCAGTTCGTGAATATCTCAGGAAATATCGTCAAAAGAATATGGCAAAGAGTGTACAGGGGAAAGAAAATGGATGAAATAATTTTTTGCAACAAAACATTACAAACTGCTACAATATAAATGAAGAAGTTAACGCTACAATACCATTAAATTAGCACATGGGAAACTAAATAACAACTAGTCATTTTAAGATTAAGATAGTGAAATATGAGCTGAAGAATCATATAGAGAATCCGATTTTTAACCAGATTTAATCATCCTGGTTCACTTAAATGTAGTTTTTACTCGTTTAGCCCCGTTTATTATTAATTGCTTTGTACCAAACCAAATGTATATGTTATGACGACTTGAGTCTATATGTATATGGCAAATTGGAACTGTTTTTGTGAAAATTTACTTGCAGGCATTTTTAGTTTTCTGCAACTTCCGGTTATACCAGACTACTTCGTTATTTTAATAGAATGTCCCAATTTTTATTGAATTTTCGTGTTCCTACTAAATTTTAATATAAGTCATCATATGTCTAGATGGCATCATTTTTGAGTTATTACAGTTTTTTCAAGCCCAAATATTCTCAGGGTTTGCACAAATAGCACCCATTGCTTTCATAATCTCTGCAAACTTTTTTTAAAATTATACAGGTACTCAGAAATTTGCGCCTAATTTAGCTATCTCAAAAACTGAGTTTCTCATTCTTTAGGTAGATAATAATGTTCATGATGGTACCGCCTTCACAAGGTACCATTCTACATACAAGAATGTATGGATATTTATTCATAAGAATATTTAGCAACATTTTTTATATTGTGAGGTTTGTATTTTTTTTTTGTAAGTAGCTGGTTTCGAAGTATGCTATAGAAATCGCTATCTAGTCTTTATCTTATTTCATCTTCTCCTTATCTTCTCCTGTTTTCATGTACTTGATTTTTGGATTTATGCCAAGACCTATTCTTTCAGCCGTTTTGTTTAGAAGCAGAAAGTTTTCCTCAGTATCTCTTTACAATGCTATAACATCTATATTTTATATAAAAGATAGTATCTGCACTAATTTAAAAAATACTCTTCCGCAAACTTGCACATTTACTATGCTAGGGCAGCTCCTCGTCGAACCAGCTGTGTACTTAGAAAAAATCGCCTGGCTAGAGATCGCCTAAGTATATGGCTTGTATGTACAATGCGAGGTGGAACAGTATAGTGGATTGTCTGCAAATACATGTAAGTGAATGGAAAAAACTGTTAGAAGTATGTGAAAAAAATAAAAAGGAAATTCATTCATTCCTATAGCTCTACAGCCTATATCGAGCCTTGGTCTCCCTTAGCATCTACCTCTGTTCATCCCTGCCCCTGGCCTCTATCCTCCAACTCCTACTCCCGACCATCTCCCTAGCGTCGCGGTCGACTGTTTCCTCCCATCACAATTTCGACCGTCCCGTCGGTCTCACTCTCTGCATTCTTCTACTGATTAGTCATCCCGGCACTCTCTCTTCTCCCATTCTGATCACTTGGCCAGCCCATCTTAGGCGTTGGAGTCTGACGAACTGTGCCAGTGGCGGGTCTTTATAAATCTCACACAACTCGCGGTTGTATCTTAATCTCCATCCATCTTCCTCCCGAACTGGCCCAAACATTCTCCTGTTATCTGCTCATCAAGATGCAGTGAACCTGAACGCCTATTTCCCCCACTATTACACAATAGCCAGTTTCACACACAAAAAAATACAAATAAAGGATACATACAAAGAAATGTAAACGACAAGGAAAAGAATAATTGGTTGACCTTTGTAAACCGTGCTTACAATAGAACAATTCTATTCAAAGTTTGCGCGTATTTGTGGAAGGAGCTGTAATTTCAAATCGCTGCATCTGTTTGATGAACGAACTATAGATCCTTCTTTCAAAGACATTCGCGCTTTCCGACGACTTTTGCGTCAGCGTTCATGCCTAACTCCCATACCTTCCAATCGGTCTAATGATTGTTTTGTATAGACGCAGTTTGGTTTCTCGGTGGATATCCCTAGATCTGAATATGGGAATCAATGCAGAATACGCTCTATATGCCAGGACTCATCTCATTGCGACTTCTCCATCCTCTGTACCCAGCCCAGATAATTCTACACCAAGGTATATAAAGTAAGGCACCGCTTCTATGTTGTCATTTGTCGCTGCCTCGATACTGATGTTTCTCCTCGTCTGTAGCAGTAACTTCGTCTTCTCAGCACCGCTTCAGCACCATCCTTCAGCTTTCCATACAACCCCTCTGCCGCGCTTAGTGTTCGGCTCATTATGTTTATGTCGTCCGCATACGACGCCAACCGCACTGATTTGTTGATTAGCAAGCCTGTCCTCTCCAACCCCACTTTCCGTATTACATATTCCAGCACCAGGTTAAAAAGGATGGGGCTACACCATCTCCCTGCTTCAAATCCTGCGAGACCAGAAAGTCGTCCATCAGTTGGCCCTGTATGCGTACAAAAAAGGAAATTCCTACAATATACACCAAAATATACCAAATAATATATACCAATATACCCAAAAGTATCTAATATTAATCCCAAACGATCTGCAGAATATTACTTAAATATCTTAAAGCCAATATCCCGGCGACTTGACAAATTGCAAAAAAGATGCTTCTCTATATGATGCTGTAAAAGTATACAAGAAATTAGGAAGTTCGTTTGACGTAAAATTGGAATTATCACTGTCTCAAACACAAATTTATCAGAAATTTTACAAGCAGGTATTTACGCCTTACCATTTGTATTTATTTTTAGATGTAACCGAGGATGTAACTAAAGCAAAATATACTAAATTGACGATGGAAGAAAAAGATGAAGCTATGAACACACTTAGGGATATGTAAGCTAATACTGAATTACTATCACTAATAGTTAAGCTAGAGGCGAAAATGGAACCATTTTCTGCAAGGAATTTATATCCATTGCTACTGTTTTGCAGTGGTGGATTTCACAAAAAAAAACTTTCTGCTATTGAGAAACTTCTTCCAACTTTAAAACAATTTTTATGTGTTGTTTGTTCTTCAGATTCAATACAGAGGGGTCTTCACATCATTTGTGCTCGTCCACTCCAATGTGTACAACAAATGAAGAGATGGAACTGAAATTTTAAGAAAAGTTATGGTAAATGCTCTAGAAAGAGCAAGTGAGGTCGAAGCAAACAATGACCACCAAGCTTTCCTTTTCTCTCGTTGAAGTGTTATTATTTAAAAATGCGTAAAGTGTTATATCTTGTGTCTTTGCTAATTATGCTGAAGTCTTTTTCTTTACGCATAGTTGGCTTGTAAGGTTTGCTTGCAAAAAATTATTTCACCCAAATTCTTCTATTTCTCTCTTCATCCATTTTCTCTTCTTTCTCTATAGAGTATATTATATTTTAGAGTGTACTCGTTACTCTTATCGTTTGTTAATAAAAAATCAAATGCTTGTTATAACTAGAAAGTCATTAATTTTGTATTAGGTCCGAATGTTTTTAGTTCTAGGTCTAGTGTTAGTTCTAGTGACAGTGTTAATTCTACTTTTAAATATTATTCAGCGCCAAGTTGTTATTACTTCTTCTACTAGTTCTGATTCTCTAATTCAATAAACGAAATCACTAAACTCACACACATAATTTTATATTCATACATATAACATTACGATAAAACAATTTCAACATTTTTAACGTTCTTTGATTAAATAACATACAGAACATAGCAAATGCTCATGGAGGTAGGTTATTATCATAATTTGTATTTACAACAGACCATATACACAATTTGAGGTAGATTTTTGAGAAGGGTTACGAATATGACTTTTATGTCGTTCATCAATTTCAAACAAGCTTTCGACTCGGTCGGCAGGCCGAAGCTCTTTCAGAACCTGTTGCTGCTGGGTATCCCACAGAAATTGGTTCATCTTGTACAACAAACCTTGAAGGAAACCAAGGTCGCGGTGGTGGTAGCAGGAAATCAGATGCACATTCAAACAAGGAGATGTCCTCTCAGTGCTGCTTTTTACCTTGATACTGCAGGTGGCTATCTCAGAAATTATCCCAAAGGGCAACTTAACAACTAAAAGCAGACAAATTGTCGCATACGCAGAAGACATGGTCATAATTGGGCGAAATGATGTAGCAATAAGGGAGACGTTGTCTTGTTTCGCAAACAAGCAACTGATGTGTTCCAATATACTAAACACAGCTCTAAAATGAGAATATATAAGAGTTTAATAAGACCAGTGTAAAAAACTTCGAAAGAATAATACTGAGGAGGATATCTGGTCCAGTACAAGAACAAGATGCAACATGGAGAACTCGAATGAATTTTGAACTCAATGCCCTATTTGGTAATGCGGATATAAGCAGATTTGTTAAATCTCAAGCACATAAGAAGAATGGAAGACGATAGAAGTGCAAAAATCCTTACAGAATGGAAACCAACAGAGAAAAGACCTAGAGCAAGACCTCGTAAAAGATGGTTGGACGACGTGAAGGATGACTTGAGGGCGATGGAAGTAAGAATTGTTGAGGAGGCCAAAACCTACCAAATATAACCTTTGGTGGGTTTTGGCCAAAGGGTATATAAGCAAAGGAAGAAGAAGAACTCAAACAAATTCAAAACAACCACAATACAACATCTTCTATGTACATCTTTTTCTATTGCAAACAATTTTGTATTTTCTTCCTTTCTTAATGCCAAAAAATGTTTTTGAAAAACAATTTACTAACAAAAGAAACTCTAATTTTCGAGAAACTTGCTAAAATTGAAAGTAAATTGGAAGTAATATCTTAAGAGACATTCAAAATAATGACGACTATTCTAGAATAAAACCTTTCTTAGTATTTTGCATTCTTGCTACAATTTATGGTGATGAAGATAAAATGGTGATAAAATTCCTCACCTATCTATTTGACTACATTATCACAAAACTTTCTTATCATTTTATGATTTATAAATTCAACAGTTAATTTTTTTCCTTGTTACGTCTAACAAAATAAATTTCAATATTCCCTTTTTAACTCCCCATACAAAATGAGTTATAGAGGTGTTTTTTTAAAATAGATAATAGAACAGGTTACACCTGCTTAGTTGATACCTACAATAACAATTAAATGATCATTAAAAATATGTAGAATTAATTGGGCGGTTTTAAAACCGTATAGAAATAGTTGTACGTGAGTTGATTAATAATGATTCATGCTCTCTTTGGTCAGAGAGTCTAGTTTTTGGCTAGAAAGCAAGTAATAAATAATGACCAGGAACGAAGTTGATGTAGAGGAGTGAATGAACTCATTGAAGGAAATATTTGGTTGGATTTTTTGTTTATTAATCCGGTTATCCCTGAAACTAGGATTGCTTTAACTTACTTTACTTTTAACTTCCACTTTGTTGCTGTCATAATATGCACTTTTCATAACAATTTTATTTTTCGACATCTTCGAGGCACACACACGAACACTTGAATGCAGGGTTCGCAAACTACCACTCTATCGTAACGAAACAATGAACACAAAACGGAGCCGAACATAAATTGATTGAAAAAAAATCGTTCGAATTAAGTGGAGTTATTTACATTTGTACTTCATTCTTACAATGGCTAGTCACCGCAGCGACTTATTCATGAATACTCCTTCAAACAGTGGTACCATAATTTACGCACCGCATTCCACAAATTTTTATTTCAATTTTTCAATCATTTAATTTACAAATTTATCAAAATATAACCGATATTAATCCCCCATTTCTAACCACCCAGTACCATTAATATCCAATGTTTTAATTCTAAGATATTTAATTTTTTTTAAACCCATTTTGAGAACCTCTGTTATACATAAACATGAAATCACGTACGGTCGGTATAACAGTTGTTAATAATTCACACCTGAAATTTAACCTATTTCTTGACATTTTTGACAGTTTCACAATTCGTTATGGACCCGGTTTAAAATTACCATTGTTTACAATAAAAGTAAAATGAGAAACAATTTCGACCAAGAGAAACACAATCCGTGTTTAAAAGAGCAAGAGTTAACGATTAGGTGTTTCAACGACAACAATTTTGTTAAAGAAAAATGTGCGTTCGAAATGGAAAATTACAAGATTTGTAAAGGATTTTGGGTAAGTATTATTTAAATGTCTCTTTCTTTTTAGGTTTACTTAATTTTGTAGTTCTCTGTTAAAGCCGAAAGACGACGAAAAGGAATAAAGCCGTATTTACCTCCAGTTGAAGAAAGAGAACAGATCAAAAAAGATTATTTTGCTCAATTTAAACAGTAAGGTTAGTTATATAACAAAGAATAAAATTGTGCTTTAATATTTTTTGGGTTTTTATAATACACCATTTATATTAATGCAATATATACCAGTAAATAATCAAATTGTTTAGGTTTATAATTGGTGAACCAAAGTGATGGTTGAAATAAGCTGAGAAAGTATAAAAGTGGCCTTTTCTATTATAAACAGTTTAATTATAATTTATGAAGATGTTTTAAATTCTGTACTGAGTAACCCCCTGTAGTAAATAATTAAATAAAATTAATTAAAACAAAAATTTTGGCCATTAACATCTATATACATGTACTTTATATGATAAAAAATAATATTTATGTGTTTATATATCAACATTGTACTGTTATTACCTCTTTTTAATGAACTATCTGATTTTTGTAGCATCCAGTTTGACAACTGATGGATTTAACTTATTTTGAGGTACTGAATTCATAAAATCAGAACATATTTTCAACATGAATAATTTTTGCTATTTCTATAATGCAGTAATGGTGCTGTTTTTCTAAAGGGAGTCGGCGACCTTGATACATTGTATGAATGTCTTGCTAAAAACATTCACCCTATTTATCCCTTATAACATTTTATATCTACTCATAACAATTTAGTTAAATTAATAAGACAAAGACAAACAAAGTGAGTCTACCATTATGACCAAAAAAAGTAATAAAAACAACATATTGTCTTCATAGATTCCAACATATATGTTGTAAAGATTTCAACATCAGAACATTATTCTCCCCATTGCTGCTGAATATCCTGATGTATTAAATGCTTCCTGAATATGTTTAAGCTCGTATTTGCATGTTACTTATTTTAGTAGACTGATAGATATGATACTTGAAACGTCTTTCAAAAAGAGACTTTTGCTGTTTTGACTTAATTGTTTTGTAGAGATGGGTTTACAACAAATAGTAATTTTATGGAAAAGACATAACTACAGGGTGATTCAAAAAACCGCTGACAGACTTCTAGGGCAGGTAATACATCAAAAGTTAAGATGAAAAGTCTTTATATACATGGGGTCGCAAATGCCTCCTTCACAAGATATAGCGGGTCAAAGTTTCTTTAAAATTAAACATTATCTGCAATAAAAAGCCCTTTTTCAAACATACATTCAACGTCACTGCTAATTTTGTCAAACGGGCAGTATTTTGGTGTAAAGTGATCAATTATCTATGAATAGGTCTCTTGCAAAACTTTGATTAAAGCAACAGTTTTTGATTGGATTAAAAAATTTTCTACAAACGTGTTTTTCTTAAAAACTATTGCTTGAATCAAAGTTTTGTAAGAGACCAATTGATAGATAATTGATCACTTTACACGAAAATACTGCCCGTTTGACAAAATTAGCAATGGCGTACACAATATTTTTAAAAAAGGGCTTTTTATTGCAGATAATGTTTAATTTTAAAGAAGCTTTGACCCGCTATATCTCGTTAAGGAGGCATTTGCGACCCTATGTATATTAAAACTATTCATCTTAATTTTTCTTGTATTATCTATTCTAGAAGTCTGTCAGCGGTTTTTTGAATCACCCTGTATATTATATGCTCTTCTATGATTCATTGACAACCATTCTATATCTTTTACCTGATGAAAAATTGTCGCAAATCTTCTGATGCATAAGTGTATCTCAAACAACTGTTTTGCGACATCGATTTCATCATTTATTTATATATTATCATAGGTCTCCAACTAATTCTGGCATTGTTAACACAAACATGATTTCCTATCATAAACATTTGTGTACAATCACTAATATAACTTTTAATATATTACATAACAACGCAGGATTTAGTGTTGTAAGGTTTAGTGTCTCTATCAGTTAAGTTTAAGTATTATAGTGGTATGTTGTATACAGTATTAGATATATGTAACCCATACGGCAACAAACACATTTTTCATTTTCTGATCACTGATATACACCGCGATAAAATAATTAAAATGCTCTTTGTTTTGCAATTGACTTATAATTCCTGTAGGTCGCTGTATTGTTACATCCAAAATGCATTAATAAGTTTACATTATCAGTGAACTAGGATGCAAGTTTTTTAAGTTTGCATTTTCTTAATGGCGCATTAATATCAAATACGTTAATGATAGGATCAGAAAACTGTCGCTATCCGTTCCTGTTTGTCAATATTGGGTTCGTGCATGGATGCCATAATTTTCAATCAGATTTGGATTCTTCATTATTAATTAATTAGTATTACTTTAGATCAATTCTTGTATTATTTCCCCGAGTCTACTAAAGTCACATCTTCTTCCACTACAGAAGTCTTTCTCTGAAAAGATTTGTATCATCATCAATTTAAACGTTTTGTAGTTCGCAACAAGAAATCTTAATTTGGCCTCAACAAAACGCAACCTTCAGGACTCAATTCTTCCTTTAAGAGGGGCGGTTCTGTATCTAATAGGGTGATTTAGTATAAATTCAATCGCGTTAGCGAACCATTCAAGTTTAAATACCTCGTCAAGTCGTCTTCCACCTCAAGTTTTAAAGTAGCCAAAATTTATTCTACTTTCTCTTCAATGGAAGAGATAGTACTGAGCCAGTTTATTTCACTTCTTACAGCAATTCATCGGCATAACAGAAAAAAAAATGTCCTAAATTTTAAGTACTTCAGTAAAACAACAACAACATAGGGCCAAACCCATGAACGATTCGATTAAATGAAAAAGAATTGCTTTCTTTTATTTTATTGGATATTACTTTTACTATTCCTAACACCATCTTCTTTTAACACCTTACATGAGCGCATTTATTTGTGCTACACCATGTATATCTCATTGTCAGTAAGAAATTCCTTCTAAAGTAAAGACAACTAATGTAGTATAATTCACTTTTACATACAGTTACCAAGATACCTGATTCTTGCGTTCGTCCCCATGATATTAACGAACTTGACGTTGAAATCATCTGGAAAAATAATTTTGTATCATTTATTTATTTATAAGCTTAATTCATGGTTTACGACCTTTTATGTTCTGTCACTATTGACTGCTACATTTATCTTCTTTCCTTACCTTCTCATATGAGATTTACATTTACTTGTGATACATCTTGAATTAATTTTCATATTTATTCCTTTTTTGGAGTATCTTCTTCTAACCTCTAATATTGCTATATTACCAACCCAGTAAAGGTCCTCTCAGTTTCATTGTTCTTCTTCTTTCTCTTCCCCAGCGTGCCACTATCGTGGCGTTGCGGTTGACCACGTATCCTTCTTCTCAGCAAGACCCTTGAGCTATATTCTTCCTTGGGCTGGCCGCAATCTGTTTTACTATCTCTTCCATTTTGTTCTCAGTCTCCCTGTGAGTCGCCTGCTTGGCGCTTTGGCCTCTATGTACATCCGTGATTTCCTCGCCTGTTCTATTCGTTTTATGTGGCCAAACCAGAACAGCCATTTATCCTCTGTTTATCCAGCTGTTCCGTACTCTTTCCTGCAACCCTTCGCAGGCATTTCATTTAGACCGCAATTCCTTTAGAGTTTCTGACCACTCGAGTACAGCCTGTTGTAATTTCCTCTCTGAGTCTGGGAGGACTACATCATTTGCATATATCAGAGCCTCGCACATGATCAGTTTGAAGTTGAGCATGCTGACCAGCATCCATAAAAGCTACAAATAGCAATGAGGATAAACTGTCTAATACCTTTTTCCATGACGAAAATACTAGAGCTCTGCCCATTAAGTCTCACCACTCCCTCCACTCGCTGGAACATGGATCTGATGGCTTGCATCAGTTATGGGAGATTCCCTTTCTTCTCTAGTGCTTTCCAGACCTCTTGCCTTAGCACCTCATCAAACATAGAGTGCATATCTCAGAAAATCAGATATGCAGATTTCCCTCTGCTGATCTACTTATCAGTTATTATTAGGATTAGGAAAATAAGATCTTGTGTTTAGTGTCCTGGACTGTAACACGCCTGTTCCTAATCCAGTTCTTCATAAATGCAAGATCTTAGTGACTTCACCACAATACTGGAGTATAGTTTTGCAATGACATTAATAAGGTATATTATTAGTATCATAATCATTTTATGACTCTACAGCTTATAGCTTTACACTCTACTTTATGACTACAGCATTTCCAGTAAGTTGTAGAAAATCGAAAGGCGTCTGAAAGCATTTTTGTGGATTAGATCTTCTGCCAATGGCGTGAAAGGTTCGATTATAGTGCAAATGGTCAATCTGTAGAGGAGTTAGAAAGGTTATTATTAACTAAGACAGAGATTATTATCTTGTGATTGATAAACAATGAGTACCATATCTAAAGAACACTAAAAGAATTTCTTAATAAATATTTATTTGCTCGGTTTTTTATAATAATAATCCATGACTACATATTTGTTTCATAAATTATTAACTATTGAGATTAAAATTTACAATAAACGTTGATAAATCACAGAAATTATTCAAGTTCAACTGAAATAATATTAATAATATAGGCGATTTGGTTAGATCTCTATACATTTGAGATTCGTTTTAGAAAAACCCTTGTTTAATCACAAAAAGATAAGAAAATACCCGCACAATTAAATTCCCTCAGAAACAAAAGGTAACAAATTTGAAAATAAAAAACCTTCAAAGTATTAAAAAAAATGTACAAAAAGAAACTAAATTACAACCTAAATTATAACAACGCATGTTAATCATTTACAAATCATTTCTATAAGAATCGTTAAAACAAAAACTTTTTAAGCAAAAAGTATTTCTTTTCAATATATATAAAAAAAAGTAATTAAAATTGAAATAAAGGCGTCCGAGGGACAACGCCGTTTTTTCACGCGTTGTCTTGTAGTAGTCAATCTGCATGTTGACGAATCTTGAAGCAATTTATATGGAAATGATCACACATTTCTCGTACCTAAAAAGAAATCAACATTTATTCAAATAAATCTCAGAAAATGTTTTGTTATTCTCATTACCACACATGTTCCATAATGTATATGTGCTAATAAAGCCAGTAACAGTAAAGAATAAAGTAATGCAATATCCACTTGAGTGTATTGAGTCATTACAGAAGCGAATATACAAATTCCAGTTGGATATAAAAGCCAGTTATATAATTCACATCTTGTGCTACTCATTTGTGCAACAATTAAACGACACTAAAATAAACCAAAAATATCATCAAAATTTTAAAATCGTTTCGGCGAAAATCTTACGCAAATGTTGGAGAAGATGGTTCCGATTAGTATAAACAAAGCGTTTGGATCATCTTCTAAAATTCCCGGTCTTTTAATAACCCATAATGTGGTCATGACAAAAAATAGGATTATCGATACGAATGGTCGAAATGACTCCGAAAAGGAACGCATGTATCCGGTTTTATCGCGATAAGAAGCGTAAACATTATAAAATACCACTGGAACATTAGTAATCGCCGATGAAATGTATAACATTAATTCAAACATTCCACCTGACGATATATTTCCGGGGAGTGTAAAGTGCCATGCTTCATGACCCCATATCTACAATAAATTATATAAATTTTAAATTCAAATATTTAAAATTCATAACTTGTTGTACAAATTCTTTACAGCGGTTGTAATAATTAAAAAAACCTTGGAACTTTAAACTTACTTATTATAGGAGTAATTTTATGTAATTATTATTTCCAATGTCGATGTTGACAAATTTTCTCGTTTTGTTTTAATTTACATTCAAAATAAACACTTTTAAATTGAAAATAAACTTACCCCTCCAACCAAGAAGACAAAAACAGCACACCACATGGAAAAATCATACCCCCAAGGTAAAAACAATAACCCTGTATTGTATTTTTCCCAGTGTGTTAAATGAAAATTGATCAAAACGTTCCATAATATCAAATACAATCGCCAAGTAGTCAAACTGGTAGATTCATGTCTTCCAAAAACGTGATACATTATAATCGGGATTAATGAAGCGGTAAAAGAATCTAAACCGTGATCGAATAATTCTCCAATAGGGCCGCTCGTTCCGGTTCTTCGTGCTTGTTTACCATCAATACCATCTAAATACAATATAAGAATATCAGAAAACCTTTAAATCTAAATTATTTATTAATTTACCTAAAGTGTAGGCAATAAAAATGTTGATTGCTGAAAGTATAAACACCCATTGAGGTATTGGGGCGACAACAGATTGCATAGCTGAGGCATAAAATTCGTAATCATAGTATGAAAGGAGTAGAAATGTGGCAACAGTGAACAGAAATCCTAGGAAAGTAAGTAGATTCGGGGCAATCCATTTTGGACAAATCTATAAATTAATTTATGATTAATTAATTTACTTTGACAGTTTTTTCTTTCTTACCAGAATGACTTTATTCCAAAAAGGATGCATTATGTAATTGCTTAAAGGGCTGGTGTCCTTGCAATTGTACTGAAAGTAAAGTTTTTATTTAATAATATTAATCAAAGAGTATCGAATATAGAAAAATATTTTTTGCGCCATCTACTTGCGTTCAACTGATAATATTTCTATATTTATTATTTTGCCTGTCCAGATACTGGCGGCTGATAGTTTTTTAAGGAACGTACATTTTCAAAATTTACTAGAATTTCTAGAATGAGCTATTAAATTTTTTCGCAAATGTTCAAACCAAACATTGTCTTTAAAAACGGAGCTCCTCACTAAAATTCTTGCTCAAAACAGTATATATCACAGTATATGTTTTTAGTAGTACTAAAGATCTATAACTTTTAAAATGGAAGTTTTGCTTGGCTTTAATGTTGCCTTTCAATATGTCTTTTGTTAGAGTAAGATACAACATTGACTGTATCTTAGAAGATTACCGATTTAAGATTAAGATAGTCCAAAAAATACTAATAGTACCTATTGTACAGTAAAAAAAACCTTGTAGATGTATTTGCAATGATATGGGTACTAAAATTCTTTTTGATAGAAGTTGAAAAAATAATAAAATGATTCCGACAGTCAAAGTGTCTTCACAAGGACATTTGTGTGTAAAGACGCATCTTAACATGTTGAATTTATTCGATGATGGTGATTGCCTACTTGGCATTAGCAGTATATTTAGCTACAGGACGTNGTAAGATACAACGTTGACTGTATCTTAGAAGATTACCGATTTGAGATTAAGATAGCCCAAAAAATACTAATAGTACCTATTGTACAGTTAAAAAAACCTTGTAGATGTATTTGCAATGATATGGGTACTAAAATCCTTTTCTCAAATTCTCAAAAGTCCCAAATTATGGCCTGGTACATGAAAATTTAGGATTGTTACTTTACTTTGTTACTAATGAAAGCTGATACATCTAATGATTGCTTATGTTTGTTGGTGTTCAAGTGTTACGTTGTAGTTCTGGTCTGCCACCAACTGCAATACAAAATTCTCCACTGCAAATATTGAGAAAACAATTGTGCCTCTCTTCGGTATGAATGATTGTAATTCCTTTTTCAAGTGATCGTGTTTCAATGGTGAAAGACAAGTTTAATGTCCTGCGCATGCGTTTCATAATCGCGTCTTTCCGAACTGTAACGTCACATGACACATATCAGTTTGGCCCGGCATCTATGAAATTTTTTCGCAAATGTTCAAACCAAACATTGTCTTTAAAAACGGAGCTCCTCACTCAAATTCTTGCTCAAAACAGTATATGTCATAGTATATGTCTTTAGTTGTACTAAAAATCTATAACTTTAAAAATTGAAGTTGTACTTGGCTTTAATGTTACCTTTCAATATGTCTTTTGTCAGAGTAAGATACAACGTTGACTGTATCTTAGAAGATTACCGATTTGAGATTAAGATCCAAAGACCCAAAAAATACTAATAGTACCTATTGTACAGTAAAAAAACCTTGTAGATGTATTTGCAATGATATGGGTACTAAAATCGTTTTTGATAGAAGTTGAAAAAATAATAAAATGATTCCGACAGTCAAAGTGTCTTCACAAGGACATTCGTGTGTAATGACGCATCTTAACATGTTGAATTTAGTCGATGATGGTGATTGCCTAGTTGGCATTAGCAGTATATTTAGCTACAGGACGTGGTAGCAGTAGCATTTAGCAGATGTATTATGCATAAAATGTCAATAAATTATCTCGGTGAAAACACTGAAGAGATTAAAAAATTGAGAAAGTAGAAGTACAACAAAAGAGCAAAAACGCAAATGAAACGAAATAGTAAACAGTTGGAAATCGTACAAGACATTATCGTTTAGAAATCGAGAAATTATTAACAATACAAGATGGTAGCGACAGAACTTCAAAATGTTGAATAAAGACTTTTATGAAACTATGTCTATCTCAACTAGTCTTTCTGGACTTCTCTGGTCTATCTAATCTTAACTTCATGTATCAGATTGAAACAATGTAGAGGTGGTCAAATTTCGATGGGTTTGCAGGGTATCTCAGTAAATTTTCAAAATTTCGTAAATTTTGAAACACTCCCTGTATATCAAAAACGAAGAGGGCTATGAAAATTTGGTTTGCACCATTGTAAGTTTCACAAAAAAGTAGCTCAGGTTCGCGAAAGCCGCAACTTTCTATCTTTCATAATAACTGAGATACCCTGCAAACCCATCGAAATTTGGACACCCTGTACATTGCTACAGTAGTTTTTAATTGGTACTGTTTCGAGTCGACATACCGAGCAAATACTAAACCTATTGCGAGATCATAAAAACAGAAATTTCATCATAAGTAGTACATTTAGTAAAGCTACGAAGTAGAATACGTGGAGCAATAGTTTTAGTTTATTGGTATATCTGTTGGACTTATTCCTTACATTTACTGTATAGATGAATCATGGTTNGCGAGATCATAAAAACAGAAATTTCATCATAAGTAGTACATTTAGTAAAGCTACGAAGTAGAATACGTGGAGCAATAGTTTTGGTTTATTGGTATATCTGTTGGACATATTCCTTACATTTACTGTTTGGATGAATCATGGTTCGCTTAGTTTGGTAATGATAACAATAAGACTAAAAACGACGACGTGAGAATGAAGTTGAAAATGAGGCAAATTGAGAATATGATAGCTAAAACTCTGATGTTGCCGTTGTTAAACAATATAGAGGAGAGGCGGCTTTATTAGATTTGAATGTGTTGTTGTTGCCAAAAGATAAAATAATACAATACTGCAGAGAACCAAGAGATGCCAATCGCTGGTTCTATTTGTTCTACCACCTTGGGTGTTGATGCAATGTAAAATAGATGCATAACCTTATTCCTTGCATCCGTGTTAGATTATCATAAAATAATTCAGGTTGGCCAGTTTTTGTGTCGCCCTAGTACATGAAATATTGTCTAGAATTCGAGGAGGTACTTTTCGACAGCGTTGAAACATCTCCGGGTGTGGGAGCACTTTGGGGGACATTTATTCACCGGAGGAGGTAAAAGGCATGCTTGAGCTCAGAGAAATTATAAACCATCCAGCCGATATGTGTGAATGTGGTGTTTAATTGGGTCCAAAGAATTTTCTGTTACAAACTTGCTCGCGGCTACCGCGCGGTGATACTTGTCACCCGCCAACATTCTTAGGTATGTCCTGCGAATGCCGCGATATGTTTAAACACACCTTTAATTACTTAATAGATTTTGAGATTCTGGAATTATGTATAATTTTTTGCGTATGCTGGAAATGACATTTTATGAATATAGTATTAAATGATATAGAATTTAAAGGAATAATTTTTAATTTAAATCGTGTTTTATATTGAAAAATAAAATCGTTCAAAATTGGATTCAGTTCTGTAGTTTTGAATTAAAGTCGCCTGTTAAGAGCATATAGTGAACACGCCGTCCTTGCAGGGCCATATCAATATCACCATAGAATTGCTCAAGTTCTTTTTCTTCCGAATTTGATGTACGAGCGTAGATCCCTATAACCTTGAGGTATCTTGAATTTAGTCTTAAAATGTAGAGGTAGATGACTACTACATCTGATATATGTTTCTCGTGAATTATAAATCCTACTCCTTCTTCTGATGCTGAGCTCATATTCTTTGAATTGGAATAGGAGTCCTGACTTTAATATTAAGGATAGGAATGCATCCCTGAAGTATCAGGATAACAGATGAATATCTCTACCCGCTACTTTACATTATAATACTTTATTAGTATTAGATACAATTTGGTTTTATTATGATTTGCAGCATCAAATTTACAAATGCCACATTTTTCATGTCTTCTGCAAGTATTTTATCACAGTAATTTTTGAATATTGATTTAATAATAGCCTCAAATTTTGTCCTGGCACATGAAAATTTAGCATTAATTTAGTTGTACAATCCATACTACGAAAACTTTGATTGTGAATTAAGGTATGAAATGCAAATGATCCCTCTATTACAGTTAAATATTTTAAATCTTTAAAATAATTACAAGTTTCAAAAAAAATTATTTTACTTTGTTACTAATGAAAGCTGATTCATCTCATGATTGCTTATGTTTCAAAGTGTTCAACTGTTCCGTTATAGTTCTAGACTGCCACCAACTGCAATACAAAATTCTCCACTGCAAATATTGAGAAAACAATGGTGTCTTTTTTCGGTATGAATGATTGTAATTCCTTTTTCAAGTGATCGTGTTTCAATGGTGAAAGACAATTGAAATATGTCCTGCGCATGCGTTTCATAATCGAGTCTTTCCGAACTGTAACGTCACATGACACATCGGTTTAGCGCGGCATCTCTAAATACAGAAATTAACAGATTAGTTTTAAAATATCGAAAAGGAGGACACTTTTTTGGAAGGACAGAACACTAAAAAACAAATGGACAAAAGAAGTATTATCCTCATTAAAGGAGGACGATTGGTCACCTTATTATTCCCGAAGTTGCTCTATTTCATGTTCAAATGAGTTCAAAAGTTGCTCGGGGTATTCCCAGAGTTGTCTATAGGATGTATATGTAGTTCTAATTTTAATGTTATTAAATAGTTATTGAACGAAAAGCAGAACTAGAAACATTCGGGTTTAGCCGTCTTAAGAGACGAATGGCTAAACTGAAATGTTTCTAGTTCTAATACTAGGGTTAGTTCTAGAAGTTGCCCAGTTGTTATTCAGTGTTAGATTGTTTTTTGTTTCTCATTGAACTAAAACTAGAACACTAAACCTAGAATCAGAAAGTTTCGGGTTTAGCGGTGCGTCTTCAGACGCATGACTAAACCTTACTATTTCTAGTTTTAATTGTTATTCAACGTTAATTGTTCTGTATTTTTATTAAACTAAAAGTGGAACTAACATTAGACCTAGAAACATTTGGGTTTAACCATGCATCTCTTAAGAATTTTTTTAACGCAAGACAAATTTGTAATCAAATACACGAAGAGGAAATTACAAAGACTGATTGGAATAATAAACAGAAAAGATCATCACTTCACTGCACCGGAGGAAAGAAAATAAACAATTAAATTTAATTGTGTGTCCAAGATTTCAATAATATTCATGGATCATAATCTCTAAATTAAATCACTTTATTACCAAAATAATTGCTTTTAAAACAATTGATTGATTTCATTCATACATTTTTCAATTGAAATTCGTGTTTCATTTTATATTACCAAGAAATGAAATTGAATACTATCATATTTTCTTTAATTCGATTACGAACTAAATATTAAACGTGACACAGTTTCGAAAACGCAAGAGAGATAGCCTGAAAATCTATTTTTTACTAATGGTTTGCGGCACATCAAGTGACCTATGAACTTCTATCTCACACTTATCAAAACAATTGAAGGCTGATGACTTAAGAGCGCTTTTAATTTAAATAACACACATAAGATTTTAAAAACTATGCGTTATACATTCAGAATCAATTACGTACAATTTATTATTATAAATTATTTCAGTTTAATTCTACGACGTGAAAACCCTTAAAACCGGCGTTTATTTTTGACAATTGAAATTCGTTGACAATTGAACTGACATTAAACAAAAGACGATCACCACGAAGTTATAAACGCCGCGTGCTACATTAACTTTTACGTTTTTATTTAAATAATTTATTACCTATTTAAATCCCACTAACCTTATACTTTTCAAATCCGGTTAAATGTTCCTCCCCCAGATATTTGAAGTCCATTTTAATCGATTTCAATGACTATAAACACTAATTAAGATTCAATTAATCATCTAAATTAAGAGATTTCGAAGATTTCAATCATAGTTTTCTTGACGATGCTGCGTGGTTTTTCTGTAAGCGGACAATTTTGTATTAAACTTATCGGCTGTATAATTCTAGCGTGAGTGACGCCATTGTTGTTTATGGATGCCGGTAGCGTTATCTGGTGGTTGACACTAAGTTTAGTTGCAAGAAAACGATGAAGATGTCACGGTCTTTATTATATAGTTCTTCTGTTCTTTGAGAGATGGCACTAACAAATTTTATTTCAATTGGATTTTTATAACTTTTACAATATTTGATTTTTGATGTTTTATTTAATTATTGTTATTATTAGGGGTACTTACGACAACCATGCTGATAAATTGTTGTGGAATATTGAATATCTTAAATTGTTTAATTTTTGAAGTAAAACATGTGACGTTTAATTGACGGTAAATGCGTTGTCATTAAAAATTGGGTTTTCCTTTATTTTGTTAAAAATAGGCCTACTTGTTATATTTGATCAAATAACATGTAATTTCATATGATTTTTACTTGAATTTTGAGTCTAATTAATCCATTTATTCCCAATGCAAAAAATTATAGAGTATACCGAGAACAGTCATTAAAAAAAATCTAAAACATACAAACCTGTTTTAAGGGCATAAGCAAAAGGAGGCAGCTTTAAGTGCCTTATCGCTGAAAACATGCTCTTCACTCAAGTTGATGCAGGATAACCTCAGAGCACACCTCGAAATCCTCAAGGACCCACGTCTAACCACTTGACTGAAATTAAACCGGACCTTATACCAACAGAATAATACCAAACAGATAATTTCGACCAACCGTATAAGGTCATATTTAGAAGCAGGGATGATTAGACGAAGGGTGAGCCTCAACTTAAAAGAGGAGCTTTTACTAGATACACCTATGCTTCAAAGATAGTTGGATTCGGAGTAGGTATGGGCATTAGTAGACTAAATAGCAGCATTAAATTGACCCCCAGCTCGGACATAACCATTTTTCAAGCAGAAGTTCTTGCTATAAACTGCTGTATCGTTTTGAACCTAGAAACGGGACAAAAAGGTGCATTGATAAACATTTTCACGTGTGACACCGCACTGATCTGAGAGTGTACCAGCAACCTGAGAGAACTCGCTTGGTGGGTTTCAGCTCACAAGACATTGAGGGCAATGAAAAGACGGACAAGCTGGCCAAAGAGACAGCGAAATTGAACCCCAACCCGGCTGTGAACTACAAAAAAACCATTTAAAACAGGCAATCAATAGTACAGGCCTCAAAGGTACCCTGGAAAGAACTTCCAGGTCACAGACAGGCGAAGACCATGATAAACTCAGCAAAGAGGATCTAAAGTCGCTCTCAAGCTTCAAGGCCATGCGCCCCTAAAATACCACCTCTTCCATATTGGACAAGCTGAGGATCAAACTTGTCGGCTTTGCAACGATGACTCACAGACTGCTCAACATATACTAATGCGTCGCCAGAGGCTGCCTAAGACACAACATTTTCGGTAAAGTTCGCCTCACATCTATCGACATAAAAGAACTAGACCTTGGAGCAATACTAAGGTTCATCAAGGACCTACATTTGTCCTAAATTTTTGGAGGGCTTAAGTCGCAACAGGTCTTATAGGTTGCGGTGACGAGATGATCCCCTCAACCCGGCAGCTATAATAATAATGAGGGCATATACTCAAACAAGTACAATGGGAACATGATGACGTTATAGGGATAGGGTATGTGCAATTTATCAAGCCAAACAATGATTCTAACTATTTCTTATGAAAATGTATGCAACAATCACGCTCTAAATAATGTTGTCTATCTTGAGCGCATTTGACAAACACGACATCGTAACTGCTTTTCGATCTTTTTCAGAAAGTGACCCCTTGAATTGCATACCAGACTCGGGGGAGGTCTTTGCTGTGAACTGCTGACTGATTTGGCAACAGATCGCATATAATATCTGGAAATATTACGTGAATACTGGTGTATTTTTCAGAAATCTTCGTATGGTAATTATTTATTGATTGGTCCAGTTTATTTTCTCTATTCAGAACGTCTATTTTCTCTCTCGTTCCTTAGACCAACGCTTTACTCTAGAAAGAGTACAAATTGAATCATAGTTTTTCATCATTGTTACCAAATTGTTGTCTTTCCATCTGACAAGTAATAGCAAGTTTTCGCTGTTATATTTATGTTTGAAAGGCCCACGAGCATCCTATCTCATTTCTTTCTCCTTCGGCAAAAGACATTTACCGCATTTTCACAATCTGGTCCTGAGTAGCTCCAATTCCTTAAAATAAATCCAACACTATCCTGGATCCAAGACCTACTTTTTTATCATGATTCAGTTGTAGTCTTGCGCCGCAGAAGGTGTTAAATTTGTAGCAATATCTAGTGTATAAAGCGTCCAGTCTTTATATCCAAATCATACTGGCTTTCCAGGGATAAACACTTTAGGCCAGTATTACACTGTCATAGATAGCTGTCATAGTTCTCTGTCATAGATCTATTACCAAATATTTCTAATATCAAGTTTGATGAGATAATATTATGGATTATTATTGAATTACATTATTATACGAAATGGATGAACAACAGATTTTTGCTTTTGATGCCTGTTTGAGTTCAATAATTACAATACGTTTACTGTTAAAAAAGCAATGTAAAAAGATGGAAAAACTAGTTTCAAAATCATTTATTGAGGGAACTGAAAAGGTGAAAAGATTTATTGAGGACCCAAAACATTACAGTTTTCAATTTTCATCAAAATTTTTTCCGTATAAGTGCAATTTTGTTCAACATTTACGACCAGGCGACGATATCCGTATGCTTTTGTTCTTGGCTGAACTTTCAGTTTTGGCTGAAAGAGACAACTTTCTCAATAAGATTCTATGGTGCGACGAAAGTCGTTTCCATAATAATGGAAAGGTATGCAAGCAAAATAATCGATATTGATCTTAGGACAATCTTAGTTGGACTATACAAACAAATAATCAAACAACCTTATAATCAAGAAGTCACCGTGACGTGGAGATCACCATGACATCCTGAACTGTTAAATATTTTCCTGGACTTAATAAGGAACGGTGCAACTTCCTTAACAAGTTTTTGATGTACTATCAGATGCACTTAATAAAAAGTTTGTGATGAAGCGAAAGTTTCTTTTAACTGCAGTGCCATCTTTATTTTTGTATAATGAATAATAACAATACTTAAGAACTGGAATCATTTACGTACTCTAACAACAACTTCTTACAAAACTAAGATTTCCTAACCCTTTAGAGGTTTGATACTTGAGAGATACTTGGCCTGGGAGTTTTAAGTGAAACATTGTGTATATGGTTTTGGAAAATGTACCTATTTTTTATTGTTTCAGTTCTTTTAATCAAAAAAAAATACACCCGCTGATGCCCATATCTACTCCAGCATCAGTGTACTAGGCCAAGACACCTCTTTACACAAGTTGAGAACGTTGTGAATATTAGGGGGGTTGATATTTCTTGCTAATTTATTTCTAACATGTTAATTCAATTGACAAAAAACAACCAAAACAATTTCACCTCATCGT